AGAGCGGCATCCGCCAAGGATGCACATTAAGTCCGCTGCTATTCATTCTCCTTCAAACGGTGTTGTTCTACGATGTCCAAACTAAGTACCTTGCCAAGCACCCCTTGTCAGTTACCCCTCAAATCCCATTCTTCGACATGGAGTTTGCTGATGACACAATCTTAATCGCAAGGACGAGGGAACACCTACAGGACCTTTGTGGTACGTGCAGGATAAAGCTTCCAAATACAATTTACATCTGAACATGGATAAAACTAAACTAGTTCTATACAACAGTGACGCTTCCATTGACTTTCGAGATGGCAGCTTAGTTCAGCAAGTATCCTCGATTGTATATTTAGGGGGGCTTATTGACCAAACTGGTAAACCTGGTCCAGAAGTTCGGCGACGGATAGGAGAAGCTAGGCAGGTATTCCAGAAATTAAGGCGTGTTTGGAGACATGCAGGTCTATCGGTTCGTAAAAAGCTTCGCATCTACAAGGCATGCGTTGTGTCCAAACTCATTTGTAACCTCTCCACACTATGGCTCACCGACTCCCAGCTAAATCATGTTGATTCCTTCCACTTTAGATGTTTACGAGCTATTGCTACCATCCCTACTACTTGGGGTGCCATGCAACAAGGTATAACCAGGGTCAGCAACCATGAAGTTCGAATGCAGTTGCGTGAAACACTGTTGAGTCAAGAAATACGGCTCCACCAGTTAAAATTGCTAGGGCACATCTTCAGAAGGCCAATTAGACATCCATCCCGCATTGTGTCCTACAACCGGTTCCTTGAACCGCAAATCCTGGGGGGCCCTTTTCGGGCTGGCGTAAGAAGAGGCAACTGGACAGAAAGCGTTCTGGCCTTGGCCATGACCATTTTTAACGACCATTTTTTGAAGGGGGCAAAGAGACATTAAAAACAAAATTATGGAGGTGGCTGCAAACCGGGGGTGGTGGTTTCAAGTAGTTGGCGCTTTTAGATTTAGGTGGCGTCGCCTACGGGAAGGCCACGAGAACGGCGCGCCCATGGCAGTTTTAAAAAACAAGATGCGGCCCACGAACCCGAATGCTCACATGTATGTTAATGGTACAGATGTCGAAACACATGGATATGCAGTCACGCAGAACACTTTTCTGCAATAGTTTATTCGAACAGTCTTGTACATATTTTCCCTGTTACCAGTAGTACCGCACAAGGCGGTGGCGGAAGTTTCAAAAATCGGGAACCTATAGGAGAGGTTGGTTGTTGTGAATCAGGGATGGCAGAGCGAAGCCACTGATGGAACGAAAGGTGATTGATCTCTCTCACTATTTCTCTCTCTTTCTCTGACTATCTACCTACCTACCTACCTATCTATCTCTCTCTCTCTTTCTCTTTCATCCAATTACTATCTATCTACCTACCTATCTATCTATCTATCGATCTATCTATCTATCTCTCTCTCTCTCTCTCTCCCTCCCTCCCTCCTTCATCTGTCTAGCTGTCTACCTGTCTATCTGTCTATCTATCTATTTGTCTACCTGTCTATCTGTGGCGCAGTGTCATTGAGTGTAATGTAGTGTAGTGTAATGTAGTGTGGTGTAGTGGAGTGTAGTGGAATGTAGTGTAGTGTAGTGTAGTCTAGTTTAGTGTAGTGTAATTTAGTGTGGTGGAGCGTAGTGGAGTGTAGTGGAGTGTAGTTGCGTAGTTGTAGTTGTAGTGTAGTGTAGTGTAGTGGAATGTAGTGGAGTGTAGTGTAGTGTATGTAGTGTAATCTAGTGAAGCGAAGCGAAGCGAAGCGACATCTGAACCTCCAAAAGTGGTCCGAACCCCCTTGTGTTTTTAACATTTTGACTTGGAAATTTGGTTCGCGCCACAACGGCGCGCACTTTTGCGACATCTCAACTTCCAAAAGTGGTCCGGAGCTGGTGTGTTTTGTACATTTTGACTTCGAAATGTGCTTCGCGCCACAACGGCATGCACTTTTTCGACATCTCAACTAGTACATGTGGACTGGGGAGTGTAGAGTGTGTAAAGTGTGGAGTGTGGAGTGGAAAGTGTAAAGTGTAGAGTGTAAAGTGTAGAGTGTGGAGTGAGGAGTATAAAGTGTTGAGTGTGGAATGTAGAGTGTGGAGTGTAGAGTGTGGAGTGGGGAGTGTAAAGTGTAAAGTGTGGAGTGGAAAGTGTAGAGTGTGGAGTTTGGAGTTTGGAATGTAAAGTGAGGAGTGTGGAGTGTAAAATGTAAAAGTGTGGAGTGAGGAGTGTCGAGTTTGTAGAGTGTGGAGTGTAGAGTGTAAAGTGTAGAGTGTGGAGTGTGGAGTGTAAAGGGTAGAGTGTCGAGTGCGGAGTGTGAAGTGTGGAGTATAATTAAAATGTAAAGTGTGGAGTGAGGAGTGTGGAGTTTGTAAAGTGTGGAGTGTAGAGTGTAAAGTGTAGAGTGTGGAGTGTGGAGGGCATCAAAACGAGCATTTTGTGCGAGACTTCCTCCAATTTTGTCACTTTCGACACGGTATAAAACAGGTTGGAATGTCACAAAGTGCCACGCCTGCCACGCAAAACAACATGACAACCTTCGTGGCAACCTTCAAAAAAAAGAGGTTTTGCAGCTTCTGCCATAGACACGGCGAGGCCACAGGAAAACCAGAGACTCGAGACGAGACACGTGGGCGAAGCAAAACAAGCATTTCGTGCGAGACATCCGCCAATTTTGTCACGTTCGACACGGTCTAAAACAGGTTGGAATGTCACAAAGTGCCACGCCTGCCACGCAAAACAACATGACAACCTGCGTGGCAACCTTCGAAAAGAAGAGGTTTTGCAGCTTCCCCCATAGACGCGGCGAAGCCACAGGAAAACCAGAGACCCCAGACAAGACACGTAGGCGGAGCAAAACGAGCATTTCGTGCGAGACATCCTCCAATTTTGTCACGTTCGATACGGTATGAAACAGGTTGGAATGTCACAAAGTGCCACGCCTGCCACGCAAAACAACATGACAACCTGCGTGGCAACATGTCGTGCGAAAGGGTTCTGATTGGACAAGAGAAATCGCAATTTTGCTGCTTTTGGCGATCGAACCTCATTTCGCGCGAAAGGGTTGCGACGGGAACCTGGAATTCGCAATTTTACCACAGTTTTTGGCGATCAAAGCTCATTTCGTGCGAAAGGGTTGCGTTTCGTGCCGTCTCGTTGGCACTGCCCCGCGCCTTCAAGAGAGAAATAGAAAAGAAGGAGATAGCAAGAGGGCAAGAGAGCAACAGGGCAAGAGAGAATGTGAAGATGAGAAGATGTGAGGATGTGAAGATGAGAAGATGTGAAGATGTGAGGATGTGAAGATGTGAGGATGTGAGGATGAGAAGATATGAAGATGAGAAGATGTGAAGATGAGAGGATGTGAGGATGGGAAGATGTGAAGATGAGAAGATGTGAAGACGAGCAGATGTGAAGATGAGAAGATGTGAAGATGTGAGGATGTGAAGATGAGAAGATGTGAGGATGAGAAGATGTGAGGATGTGAAGATGTGAGGATGTGAGGATGAGAGGATGTGAAGAAGAGAAGATGTGAAGATGAGCAGATGTGAAGATGTGAAGATGTGAGGATGTCAAGATGAGAAGATGAGAAGATGTGAGGATGTGAAGATGTGAGGATGAGAGGATGTGAAGAAGAGAAAATGTGAAGATGAGAGGATGTGAAGATGAGAAGATTTGAAGATGAGAAGATGAGAAGATGCTTGACAGACCCCACTATTGGAAGAACCCTGCGCCCAGACGCTCTCGGGAAAAAAGTTCCTTATGCGAAAAAATTGGGGACCGGCATCTACAGCGCTTGCCCTTTGACAATGCACATGCGTCACTTGCTTATCTTGGATCTTTTTTTGCCAGCCACCCCATGTACAACCTTGGAACATCTACCATATAAATGTATATGTACACATACATACCCATGCTGGTTTCATGCAGTACGTTGCAGGTAAATATGTGTTCAACAGTGTTTGCTTGCACAAACAAACAGAAAACAACATAAGCAAAACCAAAAAAGGACAAAAACAGACAATGAAAAATAGACTACTTTTGAAACTGTTTTCAGGCCTCTGCAGCCACACTTTTGGGTTATAGATATATGCCTCACAGGCATGCCCCCAACTGAACAAATCAAAGCGCCCACAGCTACCTTTCGTGTTCCCTGCAACCTTCTCAAATTGATTTTCATCACACATCAGAGCAAGTTGCACTCAGCGCTGCCAAAATTTGTGGTTCTGGAAGTTTAAAGTGCAAAGACAGAAGAAACAGTGTCGTTCGCGAAGCTGGAACGGCGCTATTGCAACAGGTTTTCTTCTCAAACAGTGCCACTCTGCAAAAAGTCATGTGTCACATTTCCGCTCGAGATTTCAAAACATTGCGAGATTTGTACCTGACAAATCAGGCATCATAATGTATGGTCAAAAGCCTTGCAAGTCTCAAATCCAAATCATTCTTTGAATCTCCAGTTTGTGTCCTGGTTTGGCGCTGGTGCCCCCACAAAGTTCCGGGAAGTATGTTGGCCATTTGAAAACAAGCAAAACCAGCAATTCCATAATTGATGATACTGCTAGGCAGTGAAATCTACAAGTGGTGGAAAGTTCCCACACTGACAAAACCTGCTAACCGATGTGAAACAAAGCAACACCAGAGACCGCATCTCAAGAGTGAAATTCTGCCATGATGAAAGGAAAGAAAAAAAACGAAACCCTAGTTAAATTTCAAACAGGCAGTTCTTGCCTGACTCCGTTTTAAAACGCTTGCAACATCTTGCATCAATTTTGTGACGTATTCCCAGCTGCGTTTTGTTTGTCGGCATTTTTACCGTGAAATCGGTCTTTCCATGCACGGGAATCCCCTCATACATGTTTTAGATTTTTGTGTCACTGTCAGCTGCGTTATGTTTGGTGGCGCGTGACATGTTTGTTTTTCTTGGAATGAAGTTGTTGCCATATTGTGTATGGATGTGTATGGTATACGCATAGTTTTGTGTGTTTTCGGCTTTCCAGAGGGTGCTCGGAAAGAGCACCAGTGCAAACGTGTGCTTCAACACGCCGCCATGTTTGGTGCCACTTGTCAGCACAAATGTGATATTCAGTTTGGTGTTTTGGGATGTGTTTGTTTCGATTTTGGGTGGAATTTGTATGTTGCATTTGGCCAGACTGAGGTTGATGCTGCCGCACAACACCTTGAGGAGGTTCTACGTTTGCATTTTGGAGGCGCGTTCTTCATCTAGTTGTTTTTGGTCTTGGGCCGGGTAACTACGGTACTGCCGGTACGGCCGGTGCTGCCGGTACCGATTGTTTTCTGGGGCATTGGCGCGTGGCCTGCCAGGAAATGAAGCGCTCGGACTCCCGAGCTCCGTGCCAGTGGCACCAGCAGCAGACTCAAAGATGATCCCATGGGATCCCAATGCCAGCAATGCCAGCAATGCCAAACCAGAACAATCGGAACAATCGGAAGAACCGTAGCAACTTCAAAGTGACGATTGCTGCTACGATTGCTCAGGCCTTGCGCTGCACCATCCTGCTGACAAGTTTGTTCTTCTCGGTATTCTTGGCAGTGACTCCGCTGCAATAAGAGAAGGGCAGGTAGATAGTAGCATTGATAGCCTTTAATGGCCAATATTGTCAACCCTGGATTAATAAAACCCCTAGCTGTTTAATTGGGAGGGGTACCATTTAAGTATCAAATGATGACTATTGGAGGAGTACCCCCCTAAAAAATACACCATGGTTTATTAATCCGGGGTTGACATTGCAGATAACATGTTCTGAACCATGTTGCGTTGATTGTTGAACGTGGATTGTTGCAGTTTTAACATGTTGGCTCGTAGAATCTATCACGTGTAGTGAAACTTAGTGAAACTGAGAGTGCGTGAAGCCGTGAAGCAACAACAAGTAGCACCTGTCTCTTAGGTGATTTCGCTGCGTATCAGTCGCATGTTCCTCTCTGGTAGGATGGAGGTGCTGTGGGTCCTGGGTGTGGGGTGGGTGAGGTGATAGCATGTGGCATAGCATGTTTCATCATGTTTCTTTATCATTTTCCATAGCAATTTCATCAAGTTCATCCAATTTCCACATCTGTACGTTTTGGGTTTTTTTTTGAACCAAGGAAAATGATGGACAATGATGGCAGGCTCTTGTTTTGTCTTGTTGTGTTGGCAGGTTCCGACCAATTCTGTCGAAGGACGACTGGCGAAGGCCGCAGCGAAACGAAACTGTTTGGTTGCCACCAAACCACTGAAACAGAAGTTGTTTTTGTTGTGACCTTCAGAGTTCTTACATTTTGGGGTGCTTCACTTATTCAAAAGCTGCCATGGCAGAGGCAACCGAAGCATTGTCAGTGGTGCCTGTGGTAGCCATCCTCATGACACTTAGCATTTTGAAGAGTGGATATGCCGACATTGCAAGAGCACTTCACTGCCAAACCTTGCGTGCTACACTTTCTTGCGCTGCTTTGCTATCAACATGCCGTTCGAAAAAGGCATTGTAAATATCAGGGAAAAATGGAACGCCACCGCGTGTTGTTCACCAAGGATTGCGACAAGGTCTTTTGGCCACAGGGGCAGAGATGCAGACTTGCGTGTAAACTAGCTCACGCTTGTTTGCAGAAGTGCGCTCATTCAAGTCACAATCACATACCTGTCAGCGTGTTTGGAAACCTTTTTTCATGATGTTTGATGTATTTATTATTAGCCGTTACTATGGTTATTTGGTTGATTTAACCTCAGGTTTTGATACCCGTGGATTAGAGGACCTCACGACGTGTGACCAAGGCTTCGGGCCATCCAACTTGCGGGCGATGCGCGATTCGGGGCACCACCGATTTGGGCCCAACTCTGCATGTGCTCCTGACGGTTGATCGTTGCAGGTCTTATTATGTCTCATTTGGTCTAAATTCAGGTCTTTTTTGTCTTGTTGGCACCATTCCCGCCATGCGTTGCATTCTTTGTCTTGCTAGGTACGGCGCCACTTTCGCATGTTTCTGTCGCTTCCTCACGGATGTTTTCTGCTTCCGCAACGAGTCAGAGGAGCCCCCACTCTGTGGTGCTGAGCAGTTGCCTTGACAGGTTACTTTTTTTTAATTGCCACTTCGTTGCCAAGTTTCCATGGCATTCCATGGCATTCCATGGCATTCCGTCGCATTTTGAATGTAAACACGTTTTCTTTAATGGCTGCGTTCTTCCTGTGTTTCTAGATTTTTCGAAGTCCAACAACAATGAATAGGAGATGTCAGTGGCTTTCCCCACTGAAACACTGACGTGATGTCGTTGAGGAGATGACCCTGGCAGCGACTGGCATTCGGCACACTGCAACTGCAACGCTCTTTCTTTGCAGTGCTGCCATTGTCATCAGCACGCTGATCATGGAGGCTTTGGTATGATGCAAGCCACAAGGTGACAAGCCACTCCATAAGCCACATAAAAATAAAAAAACACAAGAGGTGTCAACTCAACCGAGCAGCGTTGCATTTTCCAGGCCAAGAGTGCTGACACAGAGCCTTTGGGCGCCATGATGCAATGCTGCTCAGCTGAAAATGTTCATACGTCCAGAATCTCCCATATCAGCGCGGTCACCGCATCTACAGGATTCAAATGATCCATTCGTCCCTCGGTTTCCATTGTTACTCAGCTTTGTGCAGTTTGATACAGAGTTGTGCACCTTTCAAGGTATGCTGACTCTGGCTGTGGCATATTTTCTCGAGACTGGAGTACGAGAAGCCTTTTGTCGGCCACGAAAGCTTGAGGACAAGCCTCAACTCGTAGAGAATGAGCCACGTGAATCAGAAGATTTCAGAAGATTTCAGAAGTAAGAAAATGTAAGAAATTAAATCAAATAAAATCAAATTAGATTCATTAGATTCATTAGATCACCCACAGCAAAGACCTTGTTTCAAGTCTTCCTTTTGTCCTGTCAGGATCCTTCCTCATCCTACGGGTCCTTCTCACCAGCGTCACATGCGACAAGATTGCATGTCAGATGGGCAGCTCACAGTGCAGTTCAACATGGTTAATTTGGAATAGAGTTTGCGCTAATGGATTAGAAATGCAAGAGATCTCTGGTTTTTAGACTTGCTCCCACCAAGTGTTAAGTCAAGCAAGCTGAGGAGGAGGATGTTTTCGCATTGCCGGCACAAATCTCCTTACAGTGCCTTGCATTAAGACTGAAGCTACCAAAAGGGTTGAATTCTCGCAGGTTGGTTATAGTTTTTAAAGGCAACTTGGTTAAATCCCAAGGTCTGGCTTGAACGCCGGTCTCCACTTCAAATTATAAGATAAAGTTGATTTGCAAATTTGATTTACACATCATTTGCTGTAGTTGCTGTAGTGTGTTCTTTGTTGATTAATTACATGTTCACTTATCACATGTAATCCATCCTTTCGTTCCTTTCTGTCCCAATTTCTCCAGGTTTCCGCCGATGTTGTGCGTCCTGTACGTTGCCATTGCTCTCCGAGCCGTTCAGCTTCACCTGGAACCAAGGCCAGCACCGACTGATATTAACCATGGTTATGCAGATATTCAACTGACACACTGATGATGTTCAGCAGATCTTCATGATCTTCATGATGTTTTTATGTGCGGCTACAGCCATTCTCGGAGTGCCAGTTCTGAACTTCACCATAGCACCGTAGCTTTTACTCCTTCCATTTCGTGAAAGATAGTGACATGGAGACTACCTCTGTCGACACAGGCTCTGGGCAAATTGTGCCATGTACTTGTCCCAACCTCAGCATATCTCAGATCTGAGAAATCCTTTGCTCAGGATTCCAGTTCCCACACTATGCCTCACTGCTAGAATTGCACTGCATCCCAGCATCTCCCAGCACTCAATTTGCAGATCAGGACTACCATTGCCACCATCATTCAGCAAGCACGTGCCACAACTGCCTTCGTTCAAAAGGCACGACGTTTTTGCGAATTCCACGATGCTCCATCCGGCAATTTTGGACATTGAACCGCAATGTATTTTACAAACAAACTGTTTCGTGGCATTCATGTTTATCTCTGTTAGTCTCTGAACCATGCTGAACCTGACGCAAAATGTGCAGAGTTTAGAGCAGGAAGGGAAGAGTTCACTCCTGGGAGATGAAGCTGCAGGGCCAGTGCTTGAGCTGCATTGAGTTTTGACAACTCTAAGATCGTCAAAGATGGTCTACTTCCCCAGTTTCATGTGTTCGTGCTACATGTGTGTGACATGCCATGAGGCATTGGGACGGATGGAGTCTTTCGATGACAAGTCAAAGCTGTTCTGGTCAGTGACTACATCCTGCATCTATGTCAAGAGCTTAGTTTGCACTCTTTCGACTCTCTTGGGCATTCAAGCAAGGAGTGCACAGAATCATTCACTGCTGTCGTGTTTTTGCGGCTGAGGTTGGCACACTGTTGACATTGCTCAGCGTTGCGGGCATGGAGTGCGGATCCCAACCTTCGAGAGTGTTTAAATTAGTCAACTGTATGCAGCACATTCCTGCAGTTAAACTAGGCAGCATTCTTTGGGAGTTTCTTTTCTACGCCTTGAATCAATGAGGTCTAAGTCTTCACTTGAAACGTCAACCCCTGCACCGCTTTCTACCGCAATGTGCTGTGTCATGGCACTGAAACTTGGAAAATTTAAGTGGGTGCCATGAAGCCACTGCCGTATGGATCCTGTTCAAAAATGTTCAATTTTTGGGTGGTCAACGATGTTATCTTCAAAGGGTTCCTAGTATGGATAATACGTCAGTACCTCATACTGCCATTCTGGCATATCCAGCTACGACCGCGTGTTTGAAGGAAGCTGAACATGTCTTGATGCAAGATAGGCTCGTAGCATTTTGCAGCCTTTTTGTATCAAATTTGGGTCCCAACATGCTTTAACTGAGGACAGTGGTCTACTTTGGTTCCTATTTGTTGCTCACTGCAGGCAGTGCCTAGGCGGTATAGTCTGACCTACAGCATCTACAGCAACAAAAATTGAGGGAGGAGGGAGCGGTGGCTGAAAAAAAATGTTCTGAGAAGGGTATGACATGGTATGACATGCTTAAGATCTTAGATCAGTTAGATTCTCATGCCAACTCATACCAACTCATGAAAACACATTTCCACAAGACTCAAAGCTCGGCTGTTTAAGAACTGGCTCCCTATTTTGTTGGATATCGCTTGGATATCCCGTGGGGTGCGTTTCACATCGTTTCACTATGCCAAGATTAAGCACTGACGCCCATCGACCCATCGACCTGAGGTCTTCTTCGCCGGTTCATGGGGAACTGGGCGCAGTGGGCGCAGTCGACGGCCAGCGGTGTGCAGCGATCTCTTGCCTTTGCTCCCATGCTGTGCGTCATGATGATCGGTCCACCTCTCAGGACAGCTTTAAAACACAGCACAGGAGAGGACAGGAGAGGACAGGAGAGGACAGGAGAGGACAGGATGTCTTTGGCCTTTCTTGCTACCAGCCCAGAGACTGGGTTGACACTTGTTTGTTCCACTCATTTATCTTGGATTCTTGGGTTTATATTTTTGGTCAAGGACTGCAACTGCCAAGGTCATGAAAAATACCTTCCCCTAGCACATCTTTGAATCAAAATCCTGGAAATCTACTTTCAGATAGATCCTTTGATCGCTTCGCTTTTGTGTGACCCTCTCCAATAAACAGAGTGTTTCACCTTCATTCGTCTCAAGAACTTCACACAACACACGCCAAATACTGGCATTGGCAAGCTGTGGCCCTTTACCCGCAGTTTCTTAAAGGCATGCAAGCAGCGTGGTCTATTGAGCACCTAAACAAAGAAAAGTGAAAAGTTGGCCAATGTCCCACCCACTGGCAATGCGAAACAATTTTCTGTGTCGTTGCTTTTGTCCTTTTTGGGGGAGGCAAGGCTGCAAAGGGCCACCGAAAAGTTTTGTGCATTGGCAGTCCTTTTGGTTTTGCCCTCGAACACGGAGTTTTGCTGAGGTGTCCGCATGCGAGCTATGCAGATTGGAGTCCGTGATCCCCCATACTGGGCACAATGCTGCATGCTGGTGCTGCCCTCAGAGCATCAGGGCGAGTAATAATCGAGTAACCGTGCATCACAGACTGATATTTCCCGTGTTCAAACTCGACGTCTCATGAGGTGGCAACCACTGCAGTGATCACCCAAGTGACTTGCAGCATCTTGACCGAGAGCCAAGCGGTTGGTGGACAGATCGTCGACAAGGACAAGTGCCAAGCGTGAGATACTTCATATACAGAAGTCACATTAGACATAATGATTATAATGATCATAATGTGCCACTCCAACTGCCTTGACGGTAGACAACGTAGACGATTTATGATCATCACTGCATGATGCTGCCTTTGGGGATTTAAGCCACGCTGATTTATGTGGTCGCAGTTGTAGTTGGCAGGACGCCGTGACCAAGTTGTTCTTGCTGTCTGTTCTGGGAATACGATATGTCACAATCCCAGATGCAGCCCTTTCCGAGATTTCCAGCCGCTGGAAGCGCCTTACAGCTGTCAAAGCAATGCAAAGCATACACTGAAGACTTGGACAATAGTTGACATGCCATGACCCTTCATGGCGCAGGTTGCTTCGGCCGTGCTGTTCTTTAGCGTTGCTTCACTCATGGTGTCATTGGTCGGCACCCTGGATGCTTCTCCACATATTTGCCAATGCATACGTGACATTCTGCAGCCTTTGGAGTAAGTTGCCCCGAATGTATCCTTGTTTCTGCCAGCGTGCATCTCACCTCCGATATAGATGCAAACTGGCAAAGGTGTATGCTGATGTTTCTTGTAGGAAGTTTCATTTACCCCGTCAACTTGAAATGCAGCTTGTTTTGGAGGCATGGATGCAGCCTGTCCTGGAGGCATGAAAGCACAGACCCAACGTTGAAGAGCTGGGCAGCAAAAAACAGAGCGGTGATGTTGATGGTGCTGGTGGTGGTAGTTCTGGGTTTGGGTCTAGGTACGGCGGTTCTTTTTTTGATGGTGGTGGTTGTTGTTGTAAGGTTTTTTGGGGGTTGTTGCTGCTAAATTATTTCTTCTGTTGCCAGATTGTTACTGAATTCTTGCTCCATATCGTTCGAGTTCTTATTTTGTCGGTATTGATTTTGCTGGCAATTGTTGTTTGTCTCTTGAGGTCATTGTTGCTCAAAGATATTTGCACTGGGTGATACTTCTTTAACAGTTTCTGAAATACTTCGCTTCTTGCAATCGCAAGGCAGGATTTTTTGCTCTTTGCTGCCGTGCTCACAGAATGATCTGACCTGATCTGGCTCTAGCAATCCCAGCCCTCCCCCGAAACTCCTTGGCGGACGGCTGGCGGTTGCTCACGATATTGCGCCTTGGCTTGACTTCGACCTTGACACATAGAGTGAGGAACCATGATTGCTTTGAAAGCTGGGATGTTTGTCCGATCTTGCCAGTCGTGCTCAGGAATCGCACGTTCAACCCTTTATATATTGAAAGTTGTGGCACCCAGAGTTGGTTGTGGAGAATTCTGCTGAACTCAACGGCTGTGTCAAATATTGCCTTCTGCGAATTTGTCGAGTCCAGGATGTTCAAAGCGTTCCTGCTTGTCGTATGGCAGGCCGGGATGGGCTTTGTAGATCCATCATCCATCTACTGAATCTACTGCATCCATCTGTAGATGTTGAATGCTTGCCGCAACGCTGATATTAATAACGGTAATAACGGCAGTCTAGCAACGAATCGGTTGGATTGTTTGGGTTGACCCAATTTGCGGTCATGTCACACCATGTCACACCATGTCACACATTTAAAAAAATAATACCATAAGTATCTATAAGTGAATATAAGTGATACATTATGGTTCTATATGGTTCTCAGAATTTCAGGACCAAGATGACTGTCATTGGAATTGTTGAGTAACTCCCGGGATGTGTGGATCGCTGCAGGCTGTGCAAGGCCGGCGCTTCTCCATACCACTCTCGAGACAAGTCGTACCGGTGAAGGTTCGGCTTGGGCAGGGACGGGGACGAAAGCGCAAATGTGAAAATGAGAAACTTCGGGATGCCAAACAGGATGCCAAACGATGCAAAGCCAAACGATGCAAAGCGCTGCAGCAAGGATGTTTAGAGAAGAATGTTTAGGGAAGGATATGGGAAGTGAGGAGTGCCGTTTGTTTGCCAAAGAGTGTCACTGAAGTCGTAAAAGCCAAGTCAGACGGTGCCTGCACAGGGATACCTATCGACCTGTCATTCTTTCCCTAGATTATAAGAAGGTGATAGTACGTGTATAGCATATCAGATGTTCTCAGTTGCCATGTGTCATCAAATATCATTTGATGTCCAGAGGCATCACGATGATAAAAACTTAAGGTAGTGATGCATCTAGATACTAATAGGGTTCCCATGCCACACAAGAGACAGTACAGGCTGGAATATATTGATTTCGAGCTGCACCAGACTTTTCATATCTCTTCACATCTTTTCACAATCCTCAGCCGCCTGACCAGGTGAATGGCCACACAGTGTCGCACAAGACAGCCTACTATGGAAGCACCTTTGCAATCTACTGTGCAACTGCAGAAAACCATTCAACATCATTGTAACATTTCAACATCATTCAACCCAGAAGCGTGCAGATTTTGCGTACAGTGGGGACGATGCCAAGGTATTTTCGAAAGCCTGGCCCGTTTATCTTGCCGCGAGCCTTTGTGTCGCAATGTCGCTTTATGTGTGTCGGCTCACAGACTCCGAAGTCATAAAACTTGTCGTAAGATGTGTAGCACCGACTCTGCTCACACAGTTTCCAATTGCAGGTGGGTCGTCCAAAGCCACAAAACTTCACAGTGGTCTTTGACACAGGCCAGCCTAGTGGGATCTAGTGGGCCTAGTTTCCATTATAAACTAGCCATTTTTAAGGGTTGCAGAGTGGTGAGATTTTACATCAGCAGCTGAAGAATTCAAGTCTTTGAGTCCTTTAGTTCTGTTTTTGATAATCCGCCGAGATTTGCGTTGTAGGTTCAGGACACCTTTTCCTACCTGATGCTTCATGCGAGGCAAGGAAAAGCAAAAGTCTTTGGATGGAACATGTCCATATTGCTGCAGGATGCCGTTTCCCTTTGGCAATGTCAGGATCAGGTTTGCCAGAAGCATGCCCGTTATGACCGCAGATTATCCGTCGAATGTCTCAGAGTTGTCTTGGCTGTAGATGTATTCAGATTTTGCATGTTTTGCATGGGCATCATGGGCACTTTTCCGTGCACGTTCGATTCGTTTTGTAGTGTTACTCCATTAAGGCATCTGCCGAAGAGATCAATGGTGACGGAAGTCCAGCTGCCAATGAGATGCGAGCTTAGCCGCAGTCGCAAGAAAATGGCTGTAGAATGCCTTAGCAGCCTTCGGAAGCCTTTCCAGATGTGACATGTCTTCCAACTGCAATGGCACATACATATCATACATTCACATATGAGTTCATTATGGTTCATTATGGTTCATTCCCAAGGCACGACGTGGTCTCCATCTCTTACGGCATTGGAGAGGTGGTGGGCGACTTCGTTAGAGATGTTTCAGCCTTACAGGATCTAAGGACATTGGTAGATCTTCAACATGTGCTCCTCGAAGCCATACTGTCATTGCATGTTACCTGAGTTACCCAAGTTACCTGAGTTACCTGAGTCCATTAAAGTCCATTATTTGGGTTCTGTCAGATCTGTCAAGTTTCTTTTTTGGGTTCATTCCCAGCATAACATATGTCCACATATGCCCCGTTTGAACCTTTTGCTACCGTTGCACGAGGTAGTTTGCTTGGGCGAAGCCAGCGAGGCACAGCCTCGGAAAGATTCACACCTTAAAAGACATAGAACTGGAAGAGGTTTCACAGCATGATTTCAATGAACAGATTGCCACCTGGCTGACAGGCTTCCGAGTCCCACTGCACGACGACAAGGGTAATCCTTGCAACTGCCTCAGTCTTTGAAAGGGTCTCACAGTACAGTTGAAATCTTGGGTATAGACTTTGTTGTTCGCATATGTATATATATATATATGGTATGTGTGTGTGTTTTTTTTTCTTGTACACAATTATTGCATATACTTACCAATCAGATGCAAGGTAATTCTTATTTTTGCTGGCTCAAGATTCAGCACTATTCAGCTGCTTCAAATAGATATCATTCCAGGTGTTTGCTAGCTTTGTCCACGATCCCAAGATGGCAAAGGATTCGTTTACTTCTTTTCCAGTCCCCTCGGCACAAGTTCCTGTGCAGGTTTGGGCTTTACAACCTTCAAAATGACAGCTAACCTCTGCATCATGCATCCAACAGACCAACAAACCACAGTTCTGACTGTCACATATCGAAGCAACCACCCTTTCCTGCTGCGTTATTTTGATCGGTCTTGGATTGAATTGCCAAGGCCCGACACCTGACTCCAGAGCCGTTTCAGCAGTTCCACTTTGATGGAGTCCTTGGTTTAGGGTGCGGAAGGGCAAGTTTGCTCCGACAGGTGAAAAACATACAGGCCTTCAAAGCCAGGCTGAAATACAAATCTCACAAGTGTTTGCTGTGAAGATATGTTAAAGATTGTTAAAAGTATTTTGACTCAAAATTTGACCATTAAAAGTTCTGTGGTGCGAGTGTCTTGGCCAGGCTCAGCGCATTGGCGCTGAACCAAGAGTTCCACCTGTTTAGCGCGAATCTTGGATCTCGGATCTCGGCAAATCACATCAAGCCATATCAAGCCATATGAAACCAAATATGGCTTGCTTATTGGCAAACTTATATGGCTTAATATGGCTTATATGTTGTAAGTATTGTCACCTCCTGACCTATTCGGACTGTTGATCAAATGATCACGATGGAAAGGATCAAAGTTGGAATGGTCAAGTGCACTGTGGAAGTTCAGGGTGAAGGAGCCACAGAAATCGACAATCGCACATGGCCACCAATCACGCAAGGTTCTGAATATGTCTTAACATTTCTTAATACAGTAACCTCAGTATTTACTCAGTATTTCTTGAATTTTCTTAATCCTGATTTGTTCACTGCTTTTCAGGTCAGCTAGCAGGCGACATGGATCCCAGTTTCGGGGTACCCGCGGCTAGTTGTCACATGTTGCCCAAGTGCTCCATCTCCATCGTATTCCGCCGAAGTGTCAAGCTTTGACAAATTCGGCAAGTTTATGCAAGGTTCACTTGTTGCTAGAGATTCCTTTTCTTTGCTGCACATTGCGAGAGGGGAAAAAAGCAAAAACATTGTGTAACTGAGTTGTTTCGATGTGTTTCGATTGCTGTGTGCGTTTTGCGTTCCCTTGCCAGGTGTTTCTCTCTCGACCAGGGCAGCCTGGCAGCGAGGTAACTTTTGGTGGGCAGGACTTGAGGCGGACGCAAGGACCAATGGCTTGGGTCCGATTGCCAAGAGATGCCGACGTTTCAATTTGTTCAGAGGAGACTAAATCGGTATATAGTGTTGCTGAAACATTGAATGATGTTGAAGTTGTCATGATGTTCAACGCCATCTAAGATTCATGTCTGTCGAGCTTACAAATCAGCCAGCCGAATTTTGACACAATGTGATCAGCGATTGCAGATGCCCAGGTGCCTGTCTCTTTGAAGCCCCAGGGCTATTGGGGAGTAACGGCCCAAGTAGCATGGGAGACACTGATGAGACAACTCATACCCTTGGTTCGTTTGAAGAAACTGCAGCCCCGTTTCAGAGAACAGGTTTGAAACCCAGGCCGAGAGTTCCCTCACATTCGCCAAGGTTCACGTCAAGGCAGTCCGCGCTGGAAAGAAGCTGCTACCAATTTGCGAGGCATGAGACTTGCAAAACAGATAGATAGATGGATGGATAGATAGATATATCGCGCGGGGTATAATGTGAGACCCATTGAGGATGATTTGTTTGAAGCCCGGCATGAAATTCCACAACAATTCTGAATTCTGCAGCACTGGTGAGCCGGTCAATTTCGTGATGTGGCACGGAAGGTCTTCTGCTCTTCAGATAAGTGGTGATAGGACCTATTCTAGGATTCTGGTAGGTCTGATAGGATTCTGATAACATCATAGATATCATAGAAACATATAGAAACATTGTGAGTCCAAAGCCGCCCTGGCCACCCTGGAACCTGTCGAACCTGTTGGGTTTGCTGAAAGTTTGCTGAAAGTTTGCTGCAGGATGGTGGGCCACAACCTGAGTTTGTGACTCGAGTGACTCGAGTGACTCGATCAGGGTATGACACTGACCCTTTTTAGTCTGGTGACGATCAGAAAGGGCTTGCCATGGCTACTATCAATGAACACCATTATGATCATTATATACCCAAGAAACCCTGGTTTCTACCATGTTTCTACCATTTTATTAGATTTATTTATTTTCGTGATCAATTTAGGTGTATTGTCAGGATGGGATTGGTGATGCTGGCAGGTGCCACGCAATCGTGGACACCGGCACCTCTCTTCTCGGCGTTCCTCGGGAGGCCGACGATTTCATTTCTGATCTGTTTAGGTCTTCTTTATCTTCTTTCAAATCATCCATTCTTTTCAGTCTGTTGACCCCGTGATTTGTTTCTGGGTATGGGGATAATTGGAGATGATTGGAGATGGAGATTTGAAGTTCCAGATGTTCCATCATCCGATCCGTTGATTTTCGGTGGCGTTTTCTGGTGAAGGGCATGGCCTCCATCTTGGCCGCCACGGCTCGCAAGACCAGTAGCCAGGCACGTGAATCACATGACTCAGTACATGACACATGTATTGACATCATATAATATTATATATATATGTGTGTGTGTATATGTCATATGTGCGCGTGTTTTCATGTTTTTTCATACATGATTTTCACATGAAATTCATACGACTTTTTTATCAACACATTTTATCCTACGTTTGTTGATGTTGTTTGTACTAAAGCGCTCCCCTCGAAAAAGTTGAAATATGTTGAAATGTTCATAACTGCTCAGGACTGCCAAGGAGAAGTCAGACCGTCTTTGTCATTCGAGCTGGCGCGCCGCTCATTCTGTTGCATTTGAAGTAGTTCAAATATTTTGGAGTGTTGTCACATGTTGTCACATGTTGTCACATGTTGTCACATGTTGTCACATGTTGTCACATGTTGTCACATGTTGTCACCCTTGAATTGCAGGCAGATGGAGCTGTCGTTGAATTAGAGGCAAAAGACTTTTGGAGAGCCACTCCGTCTTGTGGCCCAGAGCGTTCGGAGACCACTTGCATTGCCGTGTATGTTTGCTCTGCCAGTGTATGTTTGGTCATCAGCTTTGCAAACTGCACTTGCCGTCGAACATTCGAGTCATGCAGTTCTTGACGTCTCGACTGTTCGACTGCCGACAGCCATTGTCCAGGTCAAATCAGAGGTTTGTTCCGGCGTCCCATTGATATTTGGTTATTTGCATGCTACTGTTGACAAGAAACCTAACAGAAAAAATGTGCTTTCAACATACCCAACCACACATGCTTCATACATATTTGTAAACACTCTATCATGATTTATCATGATCTATCATATCGATTGTGAGCCTTCGATATCGATCAAGGTCAAACATGGTCACTGTCTTGTTTTGATTTGTTTTGAGTTTCGATCTCCGCAATGCCTCGCTCCTCCAGTCGACGTCGCAGCCCTCGCCGCAGCTACAGCCGTCGCCGGAGTCCTCGGCGTAGCCCGCCGCGGCGCCGCCGCAGCCCGCGCCGCAGCCCGCGCCGCAGCCCACCACGACGGAGCCCACCACGGCGCAGCCCACGACGGAGCCCACCACGGCGTCGCACGTCCTCAGAACGGCGCTCCTTCTCCCCAGAGTGGCGCGGGAAGAAACGAGATGAAAAAGTTGAAAAAGTCGAAGAGAAAGAAGAGAAACATGAAGAACTCAATGCTGACGGTGAAGTTGCCATCACATCAGGTGTAGTTGACGGAATCCCAAGATCCAGTGGTGAAGCAACCTATCGAGCGGAGGTGAATGTGCCTCGAGACAATGGGGCATCTCCTGGTCCTTTGGGAAAACGAGGTCTCACAGCAATCCGTGGACCCAACCGGATCGACAGAGACAAAGCACGAGATGATGTGAAGATTTTGGTGGAAGCCTTCAAGCGTGGAGGACCTTCTGAGGTCAGGAAGGTCCAAAAAGACTTGAACCGCTCTTGGGTGAATTAGAGACCGTCAGAATCCGTCAGACCTTCTGAGACTTTCTGAGACTTTCTGAGACTTTCTGAGACTTCTGAGACTTCTGAGACGCTTGGAGCTTTGAGGCAAGAGTTGTTGCTATGAAAGTTGGTGATGTTTATTAGATATTATAGCTATTATAGCTATTATTAGCTCGCATGTGCTACAAAGTGCACTGTAATGCATGCTGTACAAGAGAGTACTGCTATGTACTCCTAAATCTGTCAGCATGTCTTGAATAAAGACGGCAAGCAGAGGAAGCGTGGAAAAATGTTGTTGCCTCGTCAAGGAAGTCATACTATGTCATACTGCTTTGAGTAGCTAACAATTGGAAGTGAAATTGGCACCAGAGGTTGTGCAAATTTCTGCGACATGTGAAGACCTGGAGTCAAAAGATCCTCCTGTTGTTCCTTAGCGCTGTCCGACTGCTGTCGTTTAGCTGTCAGGACCACAGTGAAGAGCTCTGCAGGCAAAGAGCTTTCCCTTTGCCGAGCTTTGCTGCTACCAGTTGCTTGGCTTTTGGTTGTAGCCATTGTAGCCTTGCACACTTGCCATCACTTGCCATCACTTGCCCTAGTTGATGTTTCAATGTGGGAATTTCTGTCCATCCACGGAGGGCTGGTGAATGTCCCATTTGCCCAGGTTGAGATGGCGAGCATTGCCCCAAAGGCCTCAAGAGAGCGTCGTGCGCATTCCTGCGCCCACACAAATACTCACAAGATACACACTTGCAGAGATACAACTGCGAAAATATGCTACAATTCAGTGGTACCGATCGCAGTTTGACTCAAGAAACTGGGTCAATTCGGTGGAGGAAAAGGCTAGACGGCTAGACTCGTGAGAGCTTCCTGGGATGAAAGACTGAGCATGGAGATGGTGGATCATCATGGATCACCATGGATCATCATGGATCGGTGCATGGTTTATGGCATCATGATGCACAAAATGATCATCATTTAGTGGACACCGAATGGCTTGGTCAGCAGGTGTTCCTATTTGGCGAACCTGTGCTACACAAGAAACTTGGCGCGAAACAAGACTTTTAAAATTGAGATGAGTCCAGTAGATTTGATAGGTCTCAATCGGAGGCCAGTAGCCATGTACCGTGGACCCTAGCAATTCAAGTCCAGGTGTATAGCCATCGGGATGCCAGATATAGAAAGCTCCATTAAGCTGCGCTTTTTATGGCCACAGAGATAAGGTACTACACCGCGTTTGATGCAAGATCATTCCAAGTCGGTTGCCTTGGCATGTCTTTGGTCTGACCTTTCTGTGGCATATTGTGACCGATGTTTTCTACAACCGTGGGCATCCCCAACAGAAAAGTTGATAGAACATGATAGAACGAGACAGCAGCCCGTGAACGCAGTCCCACACAGACGACAGAACCACCACGCCGGAATCTCCAGAACCCGGAACCAGCCCGGAACCCCGCAATCCGGATTGAACCTTTAGAACCTTTATCTGGGCGGAGACCATCGGAGACCCCTAATCCAACACTGTTGAGGAAAAAAATGTAACTAAAGTAATTCACTTCTTCCTTGAGACATTGAGACATGCTGCACGACTGCACCACCTCCCATGGCTCCCACTTGTGGTTTACCAGTGGGTCCGACCTGACGGTTCATTGCCAGGTTTTGCACCTGCTAGGCACGGATCCAATGAAGTTGTGCGAGCCCAAGGTATTCAATGAGCAAGGCTTCCAACGCCCAAGGGCTTACAGTTCTATCCTGTTCTATCCTGTTCTATCCTTCCCAATTTTAATACGAATTCGGCACACGGATGTTGCAACTCAGAGTCGTCCCAAGCGTCGCTCCTTGCATTCCTTCCTTATCCTTTGCTGAACTATTCCACAGCGTTGGAATGGATAGTATATAATAATATTTTTTAACATATAATAACCATAGGAGTGCTCCTTGTATTGCAAAGTGGTGTTTTTTCTTGCGTCAGAGATGGCTTAACGATAAATGGCTTTCAGTTTGCCCAGGTCGTTTGAGGTGAGCCAGTTGAACCTCGATAGCCGAATCCCGTTGCCTTGACACGGATGAAGTGTAGCAAAATTGGCGAAAGTGACGATGGCTTTCAGCCCCATTCAGAGGATCCTCCTGGACAAGTTCCACAGAGTCCATAGGAAGTGGAAAAGCCCAATCTCCATATCTGTGACTTTGTGTCACAAGTTATCTATTTTGCCGTCTATGTTTTTCCATGTTTCGTGGCCATTGAGTCTTGACTTGCACGAAACAGTTGGGTCATATAGAGTTGGATATTCGCACTTTTTACGCAGGCACATGGCTCGAGATGTACTAAGCTCTTTCTCGGGTCAATGCCACGGATTTGGACAGTGCTGGGAAAAGATGCATGCCAGAATCCGTCAGATCTTTTGTCAGAAAGCTTAGACTCCAGACTGCCGTTGCGTCGAAGACACAACGCTTTCGCACTGCCTACCCTGTCCGAGCATCGTGGCAAAGTTCTCTGCATGTGTGGGCGCAGCAGCAGTGCCCTGTGACCGCAACCACTGCAATCAGTGCCTGTGGCAGAGCGCATTACTGGCAGAGCAGTTTGGAAATCTACAGCACCTTGGAAAACGACAAGTGCAAACCGGGCAAAGTGGGCAAACTCCAAAAGAAAAGGTCCCTGGATGCAGCGGATTCTGGGCAACTGGGCTGCCCTGGGCTTGGTTAAGATAAGATTAGTTGCCACATTTCACTTCCAATAAAGTCGTTTAAAAAAAATATGCCTTGGACACACAGTATCCTGGTTGGCATCAGATGAGCTGTGAGTGTCGGTGAAGCCTTCACTGCACCATATCTTGGGACAGAGCTCAGGTATCAATTGAAGAAGTTCAGATTTGACGAGGACCCAGCACCCTTAAACGCAACAATTGCAGCTGTGGCCAACGCCACATGCTGGTCCTTGGCTTTGGAATTGTTGGAGTATGGCCATCGCCATGGCAGACCGTTTGATCTCTGGGGCTGGAATGCAGTCTCTTGGCCGAACATATATCAGGTGGAATTTGTACCTGAGCCTGGCTCCGACCTTCGGTTCAAGACTGGCAGACGCAAGAAAGGTCTATTGATATCACATGAAGCACGCTGCAGATGCCATCATAATTTAAATGTTTTTCTGGAGAAGGCATATCATGGTTGCTCAATGCTCAATTTGTGGCCACCGTGCTTTCCTCAAGTTTTTCAACAGCAAAGGGTTTGCGCGATTCTGCCGCCTTCAGGCTATAAATGCTTGTGGCCGCGCTGGAAAATGGAAAGCAGCCCTCGCACTGTTGGAAGAGCTTCATAGTCAACGCTTGGCTGATGCAACATCTGCGGCTCGAAACAACAGCCCCCAATTTCCTCAATTTTTGAGTGTGGATCTTTCATACCCCCTGCATAGTGAAACTTGGTAGATGAATTCTTGCTCACGGGGTTTTACCACATTACTAGCCATTGCCATTTGACAGCATTCTGAGGACAAGACTCATGCGGTAGTGGCCAGGGAGAATTAAGGGCCTTGCTGTGTGTTTTCACCATGACCAAACTGGTTCCATCCACAATCCTCAAGTATGATTCAACATAGAGCCAGTCAATTGGCCCTGGCAAGTTTAGGCCAAGAGTGAGAACTGTTTGGATGTTTGGTCAATGTAGCCGGCTCCACTTTTCCAGGCCTACAGGGAGCGAAACGATAAGATTTACTGGATGTCTAAGACGTGAATCATGTTTTTCTTTGCTTCGGTTTCATCCATGTGCACGCTGTATGCTCGACGACTGGCTCAGGTGAATTCTGTCATCAGTGCTTGTGACAGGCGTGCGGTCGAAGACACTTCGACAGTACTTCGAGCATTTCGAAAACCAATTGGCAATTGGTTCATCTTTGGTTCATCTTTGGTTCATCTTTCCACCGCCGCCAGGTCTGCCAATTGGCAAGGTGCCATCGCCCTCCTGGATTGGCAGGCACCGGCACTTGAAGGGTAGCATCAAGGAGTTGGAGAACAAAGGGTAGCCATGGGTCCTACAAAGAGATACAACGTGGCTGTAATGTAGTCCGTACAGCCAGTGCAGTGTAGCTCAAGGGTGAACTGAAAGATACGTCAAGCAGGCACCTAGCCATGCTGAAAGCAGTAGCAGTCTCCAGAGACAATGGAAAACATCCGAGCAGCATCTCTTCGCTGTTGAGACTCAATTGACAGGGGCTAAAAGGCTAAAAGGGCTCAAAACGCATTGCCAAGTCATGCAGATGTGGCTGGACTGACCAGTGGAAGTATGGGTGCTTTTGGCATTTGGTATTTTTGAAAGGTTGTGTGTGTGTGTGTGTTTTGCATGCATTTTGTGCCCATTTTAGAACTGCACGACTTATGAGCTCAATGGATTGGCTCGTTCAACTGGTAAGTTGCTTTTGGCTCATGTGCCAGGCTGATCTTGTTGGTGTTAGCGCGGCAATATCTGCTTGCGCAAAGGGTGCGAAGTGGGTCCACGCATTGTCAGCTCTGCAGATACAGGCCGCAAATGTGTCTTGGCTTGCAAGAGCTTGGCCATCAGCACCGACTTGCCATGTGTCTGACTTTTTCCTACGAATCTCGTTGCATCCAAATTCATTTTATTGTGTCACTTTGCTGTGTTTTCAGCGCTAGCCCAGCCTGATTTTTCTTGGAGTTCATGGCCATACTCTTTGCTTGAAGTTGTTTGAGACATCTTTACATCAGGGCATTCGGCCTATAAATTATAATTCTGCATAAAGTACTTGATGTAGACTATGTTTCTTTTTCAGCCCCTTATCTTACTTGGGGCGAAGGAAGTCACATTCAGCGCTGCCATTGCTGCTTGCGGGCGGAGCACTCGTTGGCATATTGCGTTGGGGCCTCATTTGCATTTGATGAGGCAAATGACGCCTGTGGCAAGTGTGGGCGATATGGCTAATAGCTCAAACCATCTCAAACCACTCATTCATGTGATTATCAATGATATTCAATGATTATCATCATGGTGCTCTAATGGCTGTTGTGTCTTTGGTCTTCTTTTCAGGTTGAAAGTCTTGGAAGAAGCTTTGTCAGTGGGCAGGGCATCTTTGACGTGCTTTGCTGCGGCTGCTTCTTGGCGAAATTTGCAAATGCGGTTTCGGATCAGCATCACTTTGACACCTGACTGGAGTCAAAGTTGCTATAGTGAAAATGCAGAGCAGTAAAATGCATCACAACGAAAATAAGTTCCATCATGAGGTCAGCGCATGCGAGCTGGGAGCAGCATGGCAGGTTGCGCTATCTTTGGTTGGGCTCGCAGCCAGAGAGTCTGAGCATGGAATTAACATGAATTAACATTCACCGCACATTCCACCGAGAACATTGTTTTGTTCTGTTTAAGCTAGTAACTACAAATTCCAGTCCCAGAATTTCTGAGGCAGGCTTCCCCTTTGCATTTTGGCGTAGGGCGTAGATAAACAGACCGAAGAGCAAGAAATGCGCATACGGAGGCCCAGTTTATTGTTTTGTGATGTTTTGTGAGTGGTTTTGATTTTCTCGACTTGGTCAACAGTTCTGTATCCCGGAGATGTTTCAAGCATCCCGTGCTAAAGCAAAGGACTGGCAATTAGACAGAGTGGTGATCAACGCTGCTGTCAGCAGTTGCGAGAAGGGTTGGCAGTGGGACTCGTGGCATTGAAAGTTTTGAGAAATCATTTCCTCCAGCTGTGACGTTCGGCCTATGAGCCTTTGAGATGGCGAACAGTTGGATGCCCGAGGAGAGGTGTCTTGCACTCCTTCAAGGAACTGTTCCCGATGCAGTGACCTTTGGTGCAGCAGCAGAGGCTTCCAGTCAGAAACTGGACACAGTAGGCTGCCATTCGCTGTCCTTTGGAACGTGATGCCAATGTTCCAAGTCATTCTGGACATCTCTGTCACTATTGTCACTCTAGTCCTTGTCATGGTGCCCTTGCTGATAGCATCTTACAATCCACAGGCTTGCAACTCTGCAATGCGATGGATGGAGGTCGGGGAAAGACTGAGCTCAAAGATCATAAACATCCAGTAACATCACAGTAACATCCACTCTGTGCATGTTTCTCTCATAGAAAATCACATGTCTGGCGGCTTGAAGCTTTGTTAAATTTGCATCATGCCAGGCCATTGCTTTCCGTGTCAGGCTCTTTCCTTGGCAATGCAATCTCGCAGCCTTCGCAGCCTTCGCAGCCCCGTGGCATTTATTGCAGCAGCTGCAGTCTCTTGGAGGCAGACTTGGCTAACTTCAGGACATCCTGATAAGACCAGCACTTAGGAGGATTTACTGACACTGCCCACTAATATCAAATCTTGCTCGATTTCGCATGAAGATGAAGGTAACTTTGGATTGACAACGTGAAACGAAGTTGCGCATGTATTGTGTTTGTGTTGTGTTTGTGTTGTGTTTGTGTGTAGCCAGAACTGCGGCATCGGCTCAGACATCCCAGGCAAGAGATGCTGCACAAAACGCCAAATCGACGGCCCTCCCTCATTTCAGGCACAAAGAGAGTTGGCTCAGAGAAACATCGCTTTCGGATGCTTTCGGATGCTTTCGGATGCTTTCGGCCTTGTCAAGTTCGATCAAGTTTGATTGAATATTTGCCGAGCACATGCCCTTGCTTGCTACACAGACGTAGGGACGAATGTTTCAGCTCCTGCGAGACTTGTTGCAGGTGGCATCGTGGCACTCTTTCCTGCCCTGTAGTGACAACATGTCAAGCTTTGCATGTACTGCAGGCCCAACCTGGGTTTGTAAGCATCGCGAAGCATGTTCCTGTGGGATAAGCCGGCAGAGAGAAAACGGCTAAACAGAATGATTCAAGTGGGAAAAGATGGCAAAATGCCAAAGGGCTATTGGCAATTGATGTCAATTGTTTCGACTTTTCCCAGCCTGACGTACTGAAGGCCCTGGTGCACAAACCGGTGACAGACTGGGTACGGCAGCAACTACAGGACAGCCAAGCATCGGCCAAACTATGCCCTTGCCTTGCTGTTGATAGACGGTGTGTTGGAAATTGCTGTATAGCTGTTTTAATGCGTTACAATATGTTATAATGTCACAAATCTTCACAAATCACTGGTGCAACTGCAAAGAACATGTAGGAGATAGGAGAATAATCAGAATAATATTTTTATCCAGCACCGCTTGGAAGGATGTGATCCTTGAGACCAATGTGGCTCGCATCGCCTTGCAGAGATTTTCCATGGCAGAAGGTGAAAGAATTCCAAGGCAGATTCGAAGTGGTGAAAACAGCCATGGCGTTAGCGCTTACGAAAAGACCCGCAATCGTTTCAACAAAAGCTACACCGACATGCTGCTAGGAAACCTCATTGTAGGCGAATATAGGCGATATATTCAGATCATAAGAGCATCATAAAAGGTGTAAGAGAGATTTGGCCAGCATCAGTCCGTGTCAGTCCCCTGTCGATCGGTTGTTCGTCCTTCTTGATGAAGGGGCAGGAAGGGAGGTGGCTGTGGGGCAAGTCGGAGTTTCTGAAGCACCTGCAGTTTTTTCATACAACTACAATTTGACTCAGCGCGCCTTTTTGCAGTTTGCATCACGTTGGGTTTGCTCAGAATCTTAACCGAGTCAAGAGTTGGAATCCTTTTGCGCTGTTGAGCTGTTGCAACTACGTGATGTGAGATGTGTTTGGAGTTATCTAGGTCTGTGCGTGTGCATAGGTCTGTGTAGCCGCCGAATGCTGTTATGTGCAAGGAATTTGAACATCCCTCCTGAGAGTTGATTGTTTTGTACTACAAATGCGATTTGATGAAAGGCACTTCGACTGGAGCACAATTCTTTCAGCAGAACCAACGCGACATCAGCTCAAAGTGCCACAGATGATTAAATTGGGCAGCTGCAAGCATAGAAGCCCTATCAGATGATATCAGGCAACATGGTTGGATTCACCCAGACACCCAGATAGGAAAGCAACTTCTAATGCTTGTGTTTGGGTGTGTGTAAATGCACAAATGCAGATAATAAACGCACACCTTTGCATGTACGCATCACGCAGTTGTGTGGATGCGCACACATTCCCACATGCCTAGTTTGTTTATAGATGTCTCATGATGTCTCTCTTTGCGAACCGGTAGATGCACTTGCGTTCAAGTTGCACAAGTCACAAGTGTGAGACCTTTCTAAGCTATTCTAAGCTGCATGTTTTAGCCTGTGTGTGCACCACATTGCTTAGGTGTCCTTTTCAATGCAGCTGCTACTGCGTGACGGGATGTGGATCCGTGAGTCTGCACAGTGCCCATTCGACGGCTAGGCGGAGGCTTGACATATTGGCATTCCGTACAAAGTCACAATTCTCTTCGCAATTCCTTTGGTTCCTTTCGGCCAGACTTCTGACAGCACCGGTGCGACTGCGAGGCGTCAAGTGCTTCCGTATGTTTCCCTTCATGCAGCCACATGTTACGACCAGATGACGATCAGGTGAGCAGCTATCAGATACCAACGCTTGGCCAATACATTCTCTTCATGCTGTTTTGTTCCAATTGAGGGTAGACTTTCTGCTGGATTTGGCTGTGCCAAGAAAACTCTTGACATGGAGCCCTGTTTGTGCACAAGCTGCAGGCTTGTTGATTCTTGCGAATTCCATCAGACGCTGCTTGAAGAAAGAATGGTCTCCTTCGAAAGGATGAAACGTGCAGACCAGGCAGACTGGGAAGTTCTGGGAAGTTCTGGGAAGACTGACGGGACTTCACAAGAAATCAAGTGTCACGGCCGCTGATAAGACGAAAGGTTTCAGCCTTGAGCGCTTTGGCTTTTGTGCTGCCTTCCGTCAAGTTGGCACAGGAACCAATTTGCTTCAGAGCCTCAAGCAGTATCAGGAACTTCTCAGACTTGGGCCTCAAAATCAAGTGCATTTTCACACATTTTCACTGAATATCGATTCGGACAGTTGCTGCCGGTGTCAGGAGGGCCACAACTCGCACTCTAGGCCCGGTGACTGTTTCCAATGTCTATGTCTTGACATATCTTGCCAGAAGTTGGGCACATCGGAATTCTTCCAGCACCAGCTCAAAGTGTAGTGTGGTGCCGGCTGAACATTAGCAGATATGACTCGGTATGATTCGGCATGACATGTTTTAAGACCTGGATGAAATTTGAGATCTTTTTGACAAGTATGGGCTCTTGGCAGCCAAAAGCACACTGCAGCAAAAAGAGTAGTTCAGCAGGAGTTTCAGAGTAGTTCGAATTGTGCAATTCGCTTCAACTAAATTATATGTATTGTATATTTGCTTCATTTTGCTTTGCGCAATGCAGCAATGGCCTCCATTTGCTCCTGCACATCTCAACCTTGGCAGGCTGTTGTCACTGTAGTGGACAAAGACTTGCACAGTCTATGTCATTTTCTGTGTACACTCTTTGTTGGTTGATGCCATTGTTGATGCCATTGTTGATGCCATTTCGACATTTCGCTGCTTTGTGCAGGCAGCCTCTTCTCCTGCGTGGCAGTCAGGTTGCAAGTTTTGTCGAGTGCATTTGAATGCAAAGGTGAATGTGCTGCATAATGCTCCATGCAGTGCCTGGTGACCAGTGCTGCTCCTCTGTAGGACAGCCTCTTCAGAAGGCACTCCAGAGGAAGCTGGCAGCGGGACTCTGATGTTCTCAGAACAGTCTTGCGTGCCTTGGCTGCATCGGCTGCCTTGGCACTCACAAAAGGAAAGTACAGAGGACATCGTTTTTTTAAGGATTATTCCTACAGCTATATAAAGATATCTAAATCCATGCGATAAAATGTTGCTTGTGCAATTTGTGCAATTTGTTCGTCGCAGTATTTCTGTTGGCAGGTGCTTCTGCTGTTGCAGCAGGACTGCGGCTCATCATTGCAGAAAAGCCCAAGTCAACTGCTTAGCGATGCTTAGCGCTTTGATCTTTGCCGTCCCGAGGTGGCACAGCCCTGGCATTGCCAACTCACCAAATCTCACCAACTCCTTGGGATTCTTTGGATTTCACAAAAATCCAGCGCTTGCTGAGGGTTGCCAAACAAATAGCTTCAGCCGTGGGAGTTGAAAAGGCTTGGACCTGACGCCAAGAAACGTTTTCGCAAAGTGCAATTATGCCCCGCATGGGGTCGAAGAAACAAACACATGGTTTCACATCAGCAGGTTCTTTCCCCCTAATCTGGTGTCTCACAAAAAAGCACTTTAGTACGGTTTGATACAGTTTAGACATTGCGTCCGATGTTTCTGGTGCCTTTGGGAACAGATGCAGGTAGGAAACCACTTTGAGGGAAAGAATATGATCATTACCTCAGCTTGTGGGCATTTGCTTGAATTCAAGGACTGCTTTGCTGGGAAGGTTCACCATAGCAACTGCTCAAGTCTCTGACATGAATTGTCAACTTCCCTGCAAGGATCTTCCTTGGAACCTTTCACTTCCAGTTTTTCCGCAATTTGAACTGCAGGCTTGCGACTTTTTCACAGCGAAACTCATTCTTTTTGCGACTTCATGCAACTTTTGTTTTGTCCAGCTGTTTGTGCAAGCGGATGCTGTACAATTTCGATGGTCGATGTGAGGTTAGCAAAGGAAAAGAGAAGATGGTGAAAGAGAAAGGTCCTGAGATGTCTGTCCTGAGGGCTACAAACTTGTTCATGCTACATCGCTTGAAAGTGGCACTGGATCATGAGTGCCGACATGAAACGAAACCTATCAATACGTCAAATGCGTTCTGAGCCATCTTTTTGAACGATTTTAGACAAAACATTCCACCTTTTGAAGCTACAAGTTTTCTAGCCTTGAGGATCAAGCAGTTGGCTTCCAGAGCTGACATTCTGGTAAATGCGCCCGGAACTTGGGCACAAGAAGAGAATGTGTTCGGAGCATGTCGGAGCCTTTCGGAGCATCGTGGCACAGGTGTGATGCTGGCAGAGAGGGTGAGCTCATTTTTAGGTCGGAAAATCAGTCACAGCTACACGAGTGCTGCAAGTCTTTATCAGAATTTGTGGAATCAACATGTACCAACACGCAGGCGAATTCAGAACTGGTTACAGCTGAAGAAGATGCCGGTTGAAAGGCTTGAAGATGTCGTTACACTAGTGAAAATGCACAAAAGACTTCAAAAGATTGAGCCGCCAAACGAAGAGAGACAGCAGTCCTAAAATACAGAGAAACGGAGAGAGGTAGAGAGATACATATATATATTACGTGAAGATGCTATAGCAGACAGAGATCATATCTTGAAAGCCATGATCCAGAGTTGTGACAGGCTTTGGCTACAGTCCTTAACTGAAGATGCAATAAGAAGCGCTGTGCAGAATGCACGCCCAGGTGTGTTGCAAGAGTCTCTCTTGTAAATTGTATTCAGGTCACCTTGATTTAATGCAGCAAACAAGAGAGAGGGAGGGAGAGAGAGAGAGAGAAGGAAAAAAACAGCAAGGTTCGAGAGGGCAGTTCTGTAACAAACAACATGCGCTGCACATGCGGAAGTTGTGCAGGTTGCGACTACGACAATCTTGCTGATGCAGCAGATTGCAGGCAGATTGTGCTGCGTTTGGTCCAGGAGGTTCAATGCATGTCAATCCTTTTTGGCCTTGCACAATGGGATGGTGATGGATGGTGTGTTTGTCGAGTCAGGGCACGATGGGATTGGCTTATTGGCATCAACGGAACTGCCTCCCTCAAAAAAGGCCAGGCACTCGGGGCCTTAGGGCCTTGGGGCCTTGGGGCACAGTGTGTAGCTACGGCGCAGCACTGGCAGCACACGTAGCACGACTCGTTGCACTTCCTAGGCTCCACTCTTTGCACTCGTTGCACTCGAGGCAAATGGCTGGACAAGGGCTGCAGCGTGGGCCGAGTCATGTCCCCGACCTTGTTGTTGGTGGTAGATCGAGAGGAGGACCAGATGGAACAGAATTAAACAGATTGATGGGTGAATGTTGCAGAATGTTGCAGATGGGTACTTCACCATTCCCCAATTCACGTCCTAAGATGTGTTGCATGATGTCCAATAGCATCATCTCACAGCAGAGCGTCTAAATATAGCGGTGTTCAAGTTGCAGCATGCGTTGAAGCTCTGTTTGGCCTTTTGGCATATGTGGTTAATTGTGGCTACCCTATGTGGCATATGATCGATGATTTCTTTTTGCAACTGGTTCTGGTAGTATGGGTGATGGTTTCCACTGGAACAGCGTCCAGGAGATCGAGAATTTCCAGCCAAAACCGTGTCATGGCAGCAGAGTATGTCACGATATGTCACGTGTGTCACATCAAAACCCGGTGTCATGTCAAGTTGCAAGATGTTGCAAGATGTTGCAAGATGTTGCAAGAAGCCAAGAAAATGCATTGCATTCTTCCAATCTGTGGTGCTCGGCCGCCGTGGCCGCCTTGGCCGCCTTGGCCGCCTTGGCCTGAGGTATCAAGATGTTCGTGCGACTTTTTGCCCCAAGGCTCTACAAGTCTAAGTGATCTCTCGAAATCTCTCGGACAGAATGTCAGATCTGGGGTTTGAAGATTTCTATTGAGTTTTTTTAATCACAAGGATTCATTCAGTTTCATCAAGCTTCTCAAGGATGGCAAAAGCTATGAAGGCAAATACTCCACCCTGAAGCAGAAGGCCCTGCTCCTGTTGTGTCCTTTTGCTCATCAGGTCAGGAGATAGCAGGAGATAGGTATGGAGCGGCCATGACAGGCCCATGAGAGGCCGGATTCCGCCCCAAAAAATGCTTTCTTGACAGCTCTTCACAGACGCAGGAGCAACACGACTGGCATCAGATCGCGAAAGAGTGGAAACCAGGTCTAGAAGCAGAAGTGCTTGAGGAGATGGACTAGAAAGATCTGGAAAGACACTAAAACCGCATTGAAACACGACATAATTCAAAATCATCTCTATTTTTTGGACGGAATGTCAAAAAGACGATGATTTCATAGCAGATGAATGACATAATTTGCAAACAGTTTGCGAGCGTGTTGCACTGCGTTTAAATATGGTTTGATGTGTTTCAATGCTTCTGGTGCTTTTCTGCAGGACAGCTTGGTGGAAGTCACTGAGAAGCCGAAGCCTTTGATGAACCTGGCAGATTTGCAGCGACGGTGCTCAAGGCCATGACGAGGGAAATGTAAAACAGTGCCAAAAAAAACCCACTATAGAGGTGGGCACCAGGTATCACAAGAGTAAAATATAAATTAGGTTGCATATGGTTCCACAGAATTTCAAGCAACTGCGAGTGAGTATACAGTATACAGTCAGTATACATACTTGTATTCAATTATGGGGAGGTTGTGAAATGTGTAGAGATACCCGAGGGTTTGTTTCACGGAATGTCGCTTTACTTCTTGAGAGTCTTCACATTGTTTTACTACTTTGGTGAATCAACATGACGAAAAGAAACAGACATTGTTTCGAGCTGAAGGCATGCATATTATGATGGTATGAGATAGAAGCAAGTACTGGAACCTCGCTCCGATGGAAAGACACCAACGTCGGGCATACACATCACCTCCATGAGAAACACGAAACACTGAGGCTGTGAGCACCAACGAGTAAGCGAAACAAGATGAAAGAAGACTAAATTTATGTGCCCCTCGCAATTGCGCAGCCAGGATGTAAATCAACGACCTATTCAATTGTACTTTGCCACATGTGAGACACATCATGCAAGTGTATAGGAGCTACTTGATGTGATACCACAGGTTTGACACGAGAAATCCCTGTGTGCAGTTCAGTATCGGCCGGGAAGTATTCAGATTCAGGTTGATCCCCATGTTTACGATCTCGATCAGATCGATCAGATCGATCAGGCTTTTCAGGATGACACCCTCGCAGACATTGGCTTCCGCAGTGGTCCCAGTTACGACAGTTACGCCATACCAGATCCAGCTCGTCACAGCAGCTTGCATGCCGCTTAGCTTAGGCTCAAAAGCTTTATGAGGCAGAAAAGATCACCTATCCGTCCCGGCCCCAGCAAGATTGCACTTGCTGGTTCATTGGGACATGAAATGACATGAAGATGTTTTTGTTTTGCCAAATGGCTGAATTCTGAGGCGAACAGACTCCAGGTCTTTACCAACCGATTACAAAGACGAAGTTCGCGAGATGCTGCACGCACAAGCTGGACGACCTAACAGACGCTTGGTTGCATGATGTGCTCATGGCACGGCCTAGGTGGCTGGTGCCATAACAGTTGCCATAACAAAGATGACAAAGTTGAATATGGTTGAATGCATTTCCACTCCTGGCATTCCATGCGCCTGGCATTTTGGGCGTTGAGCGCCAGATATTTGGCAACAGAATATTGCACAGATCACAGATGATCACACACAGCCTTCAACAGCGTGTAGCAGGCTTGATCGGAAAGGAATTTCTGCTTTGTGCTTCTGAAAGGGTGTGACACTTAGACAAGGAAAGTGTAACAACTGCTACTTCATTTGAAAAAATGTGCCAAACACAAAACAGGCACCTCATACTGACTCATACAGGTATACTACAGCAACTATGATGCACTTGCCTGTTTCAGGCCTAAAAAACATCTGCGCGTTCTCAGCTGGATTGTGGCAAATGTATGCAAATGTGAGGTGTCAGAAGTTGGGAAGAAGATCTTTGACGACAAAAACGTCACAGATCACTTCGCCATTGTCCCCACAAGGAAAGGCTTGCAGCAGGTGCCAGCCATTTCTTCGCTTCACTGCTTCACATGTACTCCAACGTGCTCCTCGTGTTGAAAGCTTTCCGCATTTTCCACGCTAACACTTGGCTGTGCTTTGAGGCCTCAGCCAGGACACAAGATGATAAGGCCGGGATAGGGCCACAGCGAGGCATAGCAAGGCACTCCTTGGCCCTCCTTGGCACTCGGTGCTGTTTGTGTGGTCTCTGTGTGGTTCTGTGTGGTTCTGTGTGCAGGTGTTGGGCCTCATCATTCGTCATTGCGTTGCAGCTTTTTTACCCGATGCCACATGGCTGCAGACTTTCCAAAGGTTTGCTCATGTTTGCTCCATTCGAATGGCAAGTTGGTTGACATTAAAGGCAAAGTTCAAGAAGTTGCAAAGAAAGACACTTGTGACCCTTGCATGTTTGTGACCGTCAGTGGCTGTCGATTGTATTTTGGGTCTTTGGTTGGTGACCCATGATCGAAGCTTCACTCGAACAATCCAACCCCCTTGAATCTACACTGGATTGATTTCGGGCACGTCAGCTTTTGCATTTCATTGTTTGAGGACGGGATTTTGCTTATTTTTATTCCATGTACACCGGGTACACCGTACACCGGTCCTGGGCATCTCCCAGCCAGGTCAATGGATACACTTTCACAACCAATGAGAAAATCCTGGTGGATGCAGGTGCATGGTGTGCAGTTGTCGCAGTTGCATTGTTGATATGTTGTCATTCTTTGTCATTCTTTATTCACTGTGTCTTTGCCGAGCTCGGTGCAGGGTGTAGGCTGAGGCCATTGCAATTTCCAGCATATTTTGTTGATCCTGGGGGATGGCGGCGTTTGCAGCATTTAGAACACTCTGACGGTCATTGTCAGCCCGTTGTCAACGCGTCAACGTGTTGCATCAGGCTTCTTGGCCCTGGAGAAGGGGTCCGGCGTAGCGGTCTGTGAAGTACAACGCCTCCGGAAGGCCACTGCCAAGTCACAAATCCATTGACTTTGCAAAGTTCGCCAACGTCCAGTGAATCTTTGTTAAGATGACACAGTGATGATACAGTTTGAAGATGTTTTAAGTTTACTTAAGTTGATTCTCAGCTGAGTTTGGAAGTACACCATGTGATCATCCAGGGGACGAAAGTCTCCTTCGAAGAGATGCAGGTTGACGACAAGGAGGGAAGCTTTTCATGTTGTGAATTGTGATGAGTTTGGCTGTACTTAGCGAGCTTAGCGTTTTTCTGTTTCTCAGTGTCACTCAAGGAGACAAGCCCGCCTTCTCGCTACACACAGGCAAGTTCTGAACAATCCAATTATTCAAAGTGCAGCTATTGGATACAAAAGGATATGTGAATTTGATATTTGCAGAGGGAGTGATATTTTTTAGGGAGTTGCTGTTTTCCCTTTATGTTTTTTTTGGGAATTTCTGGTTACCAGCGTCTCTGCGTTTCCCCGCTTTTCTGCTTCATTGCCTCTCTGCTTCTCTGCTTTTCTGCTTTTTCCTGTTTCTCTGCTTCTACACTGTTCTGCTTTTCCCTGCTTATTTGCTTCTCTGCTTTTCCTTGTTTTTTATCATAAATAAACCATAATAAACCCTAGAAAACGTCATACAAATAAACCCTAAATAAGCCCCAGGCCAGCCCCCGAAAAAGACTAAAGCAACTCTAAGTAAACCCTAAACACACCTTAAATGAATCTGAAACTGACCCTAAATAAACCCTTGTATAGATCTTAAACCAAGCAAAATAGACCTTAAAAACAACCCTGAATAGATCACAAACCAACCTTGAACAAACGTGAAACCCACCGTAAACCAACCCCAAATAGATCTTAAATCAGGCCTATATGAATTCTAAAACAACCCTAAATAGATCACAAACCAACCCTAAATCGATTTCAAACTAACCCTAAAGCAACCTAAAGCCAACCCTTGACAAAACCTCAATAAACCTCAATGCCAAAAGAAACTCTGAAAAAAAAAAACTGAACAAATTCCCCAAACAATTTCCTGATGGTTTCCAAAGTCTTGCGGCAATGATGCGGATCAAGATTTGCAAAGATGGAGTAGCGCAGAAACAGCTAGGAAAAATTGGTGGGCAATCTGGAATATTGCTTTTACCTTCCGGGCACTTCAAGCATTTCTCAGTTTTTCGAAGACAAAGCGCCCGGATTTGGTTCTCGGATGGTTTTGGTTTTTGCTGTAAAGACCTCAAAACATGTAAAGGTGCGTTAAACATCTATTTTGTTGAGCAGGCTACGCTGGCTTTCCTTGTGTTTTCCTATTGTGTGGGTGTGCCCAGAATTGAGGCGTCACTGCTCACAGCAATGGAAACGTGCGGAAAAGATGCCCAACTCTCAGATGAGACACAGAAGCAGGATGTGCATTTGCCATGTGCATTAATGATCAATCTATTATGCATGTGTTTATTATGTATTTGTTATGTATTTATGATGTATTTGATCCCTGTGTGATGATTCATCAAAGGCATATGCACGGTGCGCAGGGCGTGCCTTTTCGTTCCATACTGTTGGTTCTGAACTTTGATGCCCCAGGTGTCAGAGGCCAAATTGCAGAGTGTCATGGGAGCAGGCATGCAATATCATCGAACATCTTTGAAGGGAGCAGCGTTCTATAGCTTTCTGTTGATTTGCGGCCCGTTGGGAAATGTCAGCATTCACTAGGCATTGGGACCTCGGCAACTCGAGCAAGCATTATTGACAAGCTTCTGACACAAGAATGGGTCGCTACTTGGTGGCAAGACAGCGTCAAAGCTTGGATACAATCAGAATCAATCAGATACAAGTTGCACGGATTTGCACGGTAGGCCATTCTAGAACAGTATCACAGTTTTCTATTCGCACCACATTCCGGCACCAAACATGACACCCATGGACCATGATGGACCATGATGGACCATGATGGACCATGGTCATCCTATCACTTGACCTTAATGCCGAGGCCTCCACCGGAGCTTCTGTGTTGCGACCATGTGTCAAGGCTGCGATGTGCTGATCGAAATTGAGCAGCCACAGCGTGGAATTGTTCTGGCCTGTATCGTTCTTCCAGAAGTCCTTCACAATCCTTCACCATCTCTCAGCATTGTTCACCTTTGTTTTGGTGGTTTGGGGCCTTACTGTGGGGCCTTTACTGTGTTTTTAGTAAGGCCTGATGCGACACGTCAGAATGATTCAGCATTCCAGTGTGCGGGCTTGGCATGTCAAGTGGGGCAGGTTGGTATCAAAGTACTGGATCTAGTTGCAAAGTGAGCGTTACCATGCGAACCTGTGTGCCAGGTCTGACAAGTGAAAATATTCTTGTTGAGACCATGAGTTCCTTCCAAAGTCACTGCCAGTATTCTGCTTGCGGACCCCTTTGGTCTTTCTTTTTTTGGATCCCAAGCCAAAAATCATGTAATTTGTCCATCAAAGGTTTGCAGCAGGGAGTCAGAAAGTGCATGGACTCTGTTCGTACTGCCCCTCTTCCGTCGTTCTACTTCATGCTGTGATGTTATGTCGCGGAACTTGCGAGGTTGTGAAATGAGTTCCCGATTGTACATCGGATGCATCCGGGTAGTCGCATTTTGCAGTTCCAACTCTCAGAAAATCAAAGATTGCTACTCGATTGCCACGATTGCAGGATGGAAAAAAATAAAAAATATCCTGAAAATATCCTGAAAAATGCTGACTCTCAGAGATAGAGATGCAGAATCCGCTTGGTGCCGTGTCAGGCAAGAAACTTAAAGCAGAGACTTCTCACACTTGGGCTGATGGACAACTTCTCAATAGAACTTACAGGCGGCGATCTGCGATTAATCAATCAGTGCCGTAGAGTTGATACTTGAAGGTAGCATGTCACATATGTCAGTGAGTGATGTCTTTGGGAGCCAAACAACACAAATAACGATGTAGTTGCCGCAAAAGACTCAACGCAGAGAGCGGTAAAAACTGCTCTTTGCTCTGCAGGTTTCATGCTGATTTCAGCACACTTGGACCAGGAACGCTCGAAATATATATATATATATGATACAACTACTGTAGGTCGGTACGATATGATCGAGATAGAATCAGTGCATGCGGGCTATTGGACCATTGCACTGCCAAAAGATCCAAAACTCCTAGATCCTGCACTGAAGGTGAGTGGGAATTGCAGCTTCGTCAGATAGAGGACAATCACTTGCTTTGTGTGAAGTGGCGGCTGTTATGCCGTGCCGTATCGCATGGCAACATGGTGTAACATGGTGTAACAGTTTACAGAGGCCAGCAGTATGCTGTCAATGTCATTTAGAATTTAGATCGCATGTGTCATCGGAAGGGGATGCTTTGTAAATCTGTTTTTTCGCATACCACTTGACTCAAGCCATTCGGCAGCATCATGCAGACTTGACTCAAACCAACATTCCAAGATGTTTCGAAGCTGCAAGTATCAAGATCTTCAACCTGAGTTTCGATGTTTCGAAGGAGGGCCTGAGGGCACTGACGTGTATTAGTTATTGTGGGATGAGCCGCTCCATGCGAGAGCAGGAGGGGAAGATCAAGAAAGACAAAGGAGATCATGAGATGCGCGTGGTTGTTGCGACCAAGCGGCAAGAAGTTACACCATATTGAAGCAGAAATCACGTTGCGGGTCAGATGTTGGCTCCAGCAACTCGCAAAGTGCACGTTTAAAAGTACAGTCATATAAGTCATATAAGTCATATAGAGCCTCATATGGTCTGACTCTGTTTGCAGCTACGGACCTGTGGCACAGTTGTGAACAGGCCCAGGCATGCACAGTAGATATGCGTGCGTATGTCAATCAGATTCAATAAGAAATAATGGAAAGATTTGCACGTCTCCATGCATCTTCCACGTATCTCTTATGTATCCCCCATGTGCATCGCTTTTGCATGGCTTTGCACACGGCTTGCATCTTAGGAAAGCATCGTGACAAAGGCGACAGGCTCTCAGATGACCCTGCCGAAGGCACCAGCACCTCGGGATGAAATTGAAGGCCTCGTCACACATCACAATTTTGGATTTGCGATTTGCTGTTGATCCATTTTGATCCATTTTGATCCATTTTGCCCGTGCCCACTAAGGCCTGGAAGACGCCCTCCAAAACGCCGCGGCCGTCAGAGCCAGAGCCTGTGAGAGTCGTGCCAAAAGCAAAAACGACAAAATCAACAAAAGCAACAATGACAACAAAGACAACGAAGACAATAAAGACAAAAGAAAAGCCAAAAGAAAAGCCGAAAGCAACGATCAAAAAAGCGATTGGAACGAAGAAGAGCAGTTGGCTCAAAGTTGGTACCAAGATGGAGGCCGCGGAGTCTTGTGTACATGTCACTACATGTCGACATGTCACTACATGTCGCACTGCACAACATATGCAACATGGGTCAAATCACGATCAAATCACGACCAATTTTTCTGTCCACAAATGGCAGACAAAAATGGTCCACATGTCTCTGAGTCTTCTCAGTCGGACATTGCCAGGAGGCGAAAAAGACACCGCGAAAAATGCTGCAGGCATATCTGTCGAGTGTCAACTTCAACATTGATGTGGCGATGTGCTGTGCCGCAAGGAAATCAGAGTTGCCAACCTCACGCTGTAACAAATTCTTAAAAGTTTGGGTTTTGAGTGACTGTGCGAACATTTTTTCTGTCCAAGAGCTGGGTTTGATAACAGGGGTTGGACTTAGACGGCTTGTATAACTCGTCCGATTCCTCGATCCTAGCATATTCTAATATATTCTAGATACAGAATACGTTGAAAACGCCTGTCTGTTGAAAGGGTATGCTGGTGGTCAATGCCTGGGGGTGTATATGTTGCAAGCTTTGCAGGGCCAACGCCAGGATCTAAAAAAATGGATTCTGTATTGCAAGTTTTGTATGAGCCAATTTGAAAAAGGATGGATTCTATATGGCATGTTCTGCGTGATTTGATCCGATTTGGAAAGGGATGCGTATTGCATTTGATTGTGAAATGCCCTGTTTGAATTGACACTTGATTCACTTAATGTTTTGATATGTTTTGTACGCTTCAAGCTTGTGGTTCCGCAGGATCACACAGAATTGGATGGGGAGTCCAAGGAATGCATCCGGGATTACTCGCCAGGGACAATTGAAAGCGGCATGCGCTTATGAAAGCTGAAAGAGCTGAAAGAGCTGAAAGAAAGAACTCAAAGAACTCAAAGAGCTCAAAGAGCTCAAAGAGCCGGAGGAATGTCAGGAACGTACGAAATTGCAGACAGCGAGCTTGATGTCCGAAATGTCACAGCTCATAATTGCAAATGCGATGCACGTCCTATAGCCAATGCACAAGTCGAAATTTTACACGTTGATGCAAGCCATTTGCATCCGGATTTGCGATGGCACAAAAGCCTGGCTTGAAACAGAGTTGGTACTGGATCTTTGCAGAAGACCTGAAGTCTGAAGTGGTTACGTAGTTCATTCCTGTTAAACATTTGACATGGTACAATGTGAAACTGCTGAGTTTGAACCATGATTTCGTCAACATAACTTATTTTGATTCAGAAAAGCATAGGCCTTTGAGATATGTCCGGAAAAGAAATGACCTGATACGATATGATAATACAAGAATGATACAAGATATTCTGTCAATATATACTTCACGTCTAAAGGTCCAGGGATGATCCTTCCAACCCTAATGCGTCCCCAAGGATGATAGTTCACGGCTGGACTTGGCATACCTTGGCACTGCTCTCAGTGACTTGAGTTTCCTACTTTGAGTCAGTTTGATTTTGCAACTTTGCATCATTTTGCATCTGTTCCGCAGCACTTCAGTGGGGCTGTCGCTCTCGCTGTTTCAATGCAACTTTCCTGCAACCTTTTGCGGGGCCAGGGGCTGCGAACAGCGCGGTGGAACAGCAATGCGCACGATCCCCTGCTGAGAAGTATCCCGAGCGAAACAGAAAAGGTCGAGCAAGATAAATGCTTGCAACGATCAAACTAGTCTGAATGCCAGTTGGGAATGTAAAGAATCAGAAACGGATAAGTACGGGTCAATTGACTGGGGAAATAGCAAGTTTTGACCACAGGGCAGGTTGCAATAGTCGGAATTTGGCACCTGCACACAAAGAGAAGGGCAGTGACAAGTTCTTGTATGCGTTTTGCTTTCTCTGCAGCCACATGAGGTTAAGGGGGGAATCAAATTTGAACAGATTTGAATGGCAAAGATTCGACTAACCAAGTGCAGAACCTGTGGCAAAGCGGGCTTCGGCAAGAGGCACCTACCCAAACAAAGTACTAGCATTAATTTCAATTGACACATTTTCTTCACCCCTGCTTGTGTCCGAATGTTTGTCACTCAGCTTCTTTGAAGCTTTGTTTGGCAACGGTCCGGGGCCCCAAATGTTGTTGGCAGCAGACAGGTGGATCACGCATGGGTGCTTGGTGTTCTTCGCGACAAGGAGAAAGTTTCCAGATCGTTCCGCCAGCTGCCACTGGAGGCAATGAAGATTGTGACGCTCTTTGCTTTGAGCGCTGCAGTGAAGTTTCGAGTGCACCCAACAGCAGATGACGAATGGCTACGACCTTATGCTGCTTATGCTGATGCGTTTGTTGTGTTTTTTTATTTCAATGGTACACTGTTGCAGGGTGCTTGGGCTTGGGTTACCCATGGTGAATCCTTTCCAGGTGCACCGGCAACCAGGCGGGGGGAAGGAGGGCCGGAGGGCCGGAGGGCGGCGTGGAGAACAAGTGCCAAGGGCCTAAGGGCCTAAGGGAAAGCATTTTACAATATTTTGCACATTGGATCACAGTTCAAATTTGTGCATCAAATATTCTGTCGTGGTTCTCAATATCCCTTTCTGGCAGTTTGCCACATCACCTTTAGTTGTTGCAGATTATCTATCCAATTTGGGAGTCTTGTTCAATTGGGACATTTTAGCATTTAGTGATAACTGTGAAGGGTTATGAAGCAGAAGTCGAGTGGTACAGGGTAGCTGTTGCTGCGTGTTTTTTCCATGAAATTGTCCACCGAACCTGCACTACCAAGATCTTGCTATTTGAAAGACCCTTTGGAGAGATCTCCGAAGCGAAACGGTTGCTAGAACCCTTACATATCTTTGCAGAGTGTTGCACGATGCCTCTACTTGTTGAACTTTCACAAAGTTGTTGTCCATGGTTACCCGGCCAGGGTAGTTTGGTTCAAGCACAATGTTGACAACAACAAATACAAAGAGATCTGCGAAGAACGAGTTTGTCGACAATATTCAACAACGCCAAATCTATTTCTTATGTTGGTACAGGTTGAATCCATCTCCAAACCACAGGTTCGAATCGAAACCCTTAAGTTCCAAGTCTGAATAGCTCATTTGCAGATGGCGGAAGATGCTGGAGAAAGTCTCTCACAGGACTCTCAGAGTTCTTCTTGGAAGTGGGCTGAAAACTCCTGCTGTACGCGATCCACATCCTTGCCACGATCGTGAAAGAGGATCTGAATGTGAGAAGAGCACGGAGAAGGACGAGAGACCAGAGAAGGAGCACCTCAGCGGCCTCAAGATGCCAGACCCTTCAAGAGACCGTTCAAGAGACGGTGCTACAAGAGACTCCCAGAGTGCGATGCAACAGCCCTTTCAGAGGAGATTTCCAAAGTATGACTTCAACCCAAAACAGTATGACAACGCCAAGGAAGCAGCCAATCTCTTCGTAAGGTCACTAGTTCTTGATTTCAGCATAATTTCTGTGTGATCCTGTCCCCAAAAGTAAGTAATAGGGTTAAAACGCCAGAGTGATACTTACTTGGATCCCAAACTGTTCGTGCATTGGTTGCTGAGGCGCATTGTGGCACCGGAGATAGGCGAACCCTGTCCAGTGACCTACAAGAATTGGAGTTTTGGAAGGACCCAGATGTGAAGGAGACAGCCTCAACCCTTCCACCTTCAAAAAAAATGAAGGAGAGGCCACCAAGGAGCTCAAGCGAAGTGCCCGCTTGGCCAAGAGATTGGAGGAAGCCAAAGCAACGACTTGAAATTTCCAGGGCACAGCGGCACAGTGGCACAGCTCTCCTACCAGGTCACAAGCTCTGAGATGAGTGAGATGAATAGAACTTGTTTCACCGCGCCAGTGGCCAGGTAGGTTCAAATCCATGGGTGGCTTTGGTCTGCCCTTTGAAAATTACAAGTTTGGTCCAAATCCGTGGACTGGAATGCCTTTACAAGGATGTGCGAACGATTACAGTCAATACAGATATGGAGATAGCTTGCAGCACTGCATGGCAGTGAGTGTCCTTTGTTCAGAAAAATGGTGACTTTACGACTTTACGGGAGCTGCTGAGGGAACGAGAGATAGAGAAGACCTGTACAACAAAAAAGTGAACGTCCAAGCCTAGCGTGGCAGTAGTTTTGCCTACTCATTTGAAAAGCCCTTTTGTCAGTATAAAGTCCCTTAAAGACGTTTAATTAAGCACCGGCAGCATAGAATAACATGTGTTGCATATCGAATACAGATTTAATACATATTCGAGCATCAAGTGCCTAAATGGTTTATGGCCAAAGTTTGCCGCTCCAGTTCCCGCTGGACGTGGATGCCTCCTACCACGCGGCTGGGCTGGCGAAGGGTGAGGATCTCTTCAACAAGGAGGACTTAAGCCAGTTCCAGGCAAGTCGAGCATCACACAACATATCCCAACATATTGCAACTGAGTTATCTGAGTTAACTGCCTGTTGAAGGAGAATGATATTAGAAATTATTAGAATGTAGCTCAGAGTAGCTCAGAATTGAAGCATCGTGAAGTCGCATTGTGAGCGCCACTGAACTCATTTTGTTCATCACATTTCCACGCTGCGAGGTGAAGTTAGGACAGGTGCAAGAATGGGCGGCTGCTTCGCCCTGGCACCTCAGAGTCACAGCAGCTCAGCACCGAAAGGCAAATGTCTTGATGTTTTTTGTGTGGCAGAACGACGAAAAAGAACGAAAACAAAAAATCAAAATCTATCGAAATCTTCCAGGCAGATCTGCAGATCTCACAAAGTTTCTTCCAACATCAGTATTCCTTTGGATGCAGCGTTCACCGAGCAACTAGAATTGATTTATGTCCCACGCGTTTCCTTCTAGTTTCCATTCTCAACCGTAGGAATATGGCATTGTCCATGTTGGAAGAAAAAAAGAAAGAGATGGAAATAGACGAGTGAAAAGGCCCTGAAAAAAGGAGGGGAGTTAAGTGAAGTAGAAAATGCCAGGCTACCGATCAAATGTCTGGTTGCAACGGACAAGGAGTGGTGGGTCAAAAGACTCGTTTTCTTCCCAGAGAGCTGCAGACTTTAAGGGTTCCTAGTTCTCATAGAATCAGGGTCGTATCCCGGATGCTGTCCAGCTTGTATCCCAGTTTGTGTCTTGTTGTGTCCTTGCATGTTCAATGTCTGCCATGGATACCGTCCATTTGTTTCTCAGTTTGTCTCCTTGCCTCGTGTCCTAATATGGTGGCCGGAAGGCTGGCGTTGCTGCCGTTCCGTTGCCTCAATTTATCTTGTTTGCCCTTGATGTCTCACATCTTGTTTGCCCGTGCCTCTCTGCATGGTGGCTAAAGCTCCGTGCGGACGTGCTGTTAGTTGTGCTGTTGTTTCTGAATTTGCTTTTAGACTTGTCGCCATCTCCGAGAAACTCTCAACTTCCCATTGTTATTTGGGATGCCAATCTTTTTGTCCAGGATTCAGGCATTTCATCCAACGCTGGGATCAAATTTTCGCCATGCGTTTCTTGCTTTGTTCCTCCGAGCTATTTCATGATAGTGCTCAGCAAGAACTGTACACCATATCACCAAGCCTTAAAAATTCTCCGTGCACTTGACTCACTTCACTTCCCTTGCAAGGTCAACAGCTCGCTTAGCAGCGAAGTGAAGTTTGGCTTTCCTGGGACAGGAGGATTTTTGATGATTTCGGTGCCACCCAATGCCAAAGGCTGGGCTCGAAATGGCTTGACATAGCTTCCCAAGACATGTCATGACAGACGCTCTGGTGAGCACGGCTTTGAAATGGTAGAGATATGACGTTCGCAACGTGCGGGTGTAGCTACAGCCTTGCTGTTTGCAACAGGTAATTCTGGCGTCTACCGGAAGGATATTGATATTTAAGAGATGAAGATATGGTTCCTGGATGCTTTGCAAACTGCAGCGTGGCTGTGTTTTTTGCATGCTGTGTTTTAAGCTGTGCCAATGATTTCGCAGGTGAGCTCGTGGTTACAGATCGCGTTGGGGCAGCGCAGGAGCCGACCTTTCAATACCGTGAGGGTCCAGCACGACTCGACGGTGATGTGCCTTGGCACTGCGAAAGCAGCCAGAGCCCGAAGCAAAGGTGTGAATCGGTGTGAACAACCAAAGGGTAGCTATGGCACAGATATGGCACAGCTATGGTAGCTGTTGGTTTGGCATACTCACTTGTTTGATTTGTGTGGCGCATACGCATACAATCATTTTTCGTGACACATATCGACACATATTTGAATCAATGCAGTTTTGCCGCTAGCATAATGGCCACAAAGAACCCGCACAATTTTGCCGGATGATTCTTCATTGTGTTCACAACTGGTAGGTTCTCGAATATATTAATTTCAATTTGTCAGGTGGTCTTTACGAAGTTCTGCTTGAGACCGAAGCTGTGTGGCGAGGAGGACTGACTCTGTCCATCGATTGTGTTCCATGCAGGTTCTGCTACCGCCTCTACCGCTTCTCACCAGGACTTTTGTCAGGATGGTTGGAAGGCAAAGTCCGGCGATGCCTTGCCCGGAAACAGCAGGTGCACTGGCAGTTCAAAATACATGGCTTGCTTGATTCTGCTGTTCAGCACTGTGGCTTAGCCACCAGCAGTAACATGGCTGCAACCTTTGCCCATGTCTTTTTGCATCAAGTTGTTTGTTTGTTCGTTTTTGTTGTCCTGTTGCTGGTAGCATTGGTAAATTGCATCTGGCCGGCTTCCAGGATGGAGTGCTGCGACCAGATTCAATGTGCAGAGTCTGACAAGGCATGAACTCATAGTGATGCCACAGTGTGGTGGAACGCAGAGCGAGACTGAAACTGTAAACTGAAAGGAGCCAGCTTGTTATGCAATGATAGAAAAGACAAACTGTAACATTATGTCCATTATGTAACATATGCGTCCGTCGATTTGCAGAGTATGTGATCTTTCAATGGTTCGACGGAAGTGTGGCTGGACGACCTGGCTACGGGTCTCCCAAGCTTTTTTGTCAGCGCTGGGGATGCTCGGGGCCGGTGCACAACAAAATCAGTTTGAACCTAGTTGGATAACTGGTTCCAACCGAAAGTTGAGATCTGAATCGAAAGAATATGGTTTCGTACGTTTCGAATCGTTTCGATCCGTTGGCTTGCACAGTGTGTTCATCCTGTGTGTCCGGGAGCTTTCAGCGATGTTTTTGGAGGTAGATGGATGCAGTGGGACTACGTGGACCAAGAAGCCCAATTTCACAGAGCTGCAAGGTGGCGGTGGTCCAGTCTGGTGATGTTTATAGTTGAATTTGTATGAATTTGTCGTTTTTGCACAACCAGGTGCCTTCCAGTTGGACAAATAGGGTTTGATTTCACCCTTTGCAAATTTTTGCCATGTTTTCTCGTTGGAATCTGTTGTTGGCCGACTGTTGATATTGTTGTTATCATTTGCTGTTCTTGTCATCAGCACAGGGCAGCTGCGTTGTCATCAACATTATGTTGTGTCTCATTCAGATTTTGTCACTGTCAATTACATAACCATCCATCATCATGATCTCTATCATCAGCTTCGTCAATTTCATTGTGTTCATCGTTTCCATCATCTCTGTTTCATCACTACTGCAACAACAACATCCAAAACAGTTTTGAACGTGTGAAACATACCCAAAACATTGCTCCACCATCCTGTTGAATACTATCAAACCTGTGGGACAAAGAATGTACCACGGTGAAGCTGTCATCATGAACCTTCTTGTTGTTTGTGAACAAGATCCACAATAGTCGTCGCCTTCCATCCATGAGCAGTATCATTGTCATTTGTTTGTCCTCCCTTTGTCCTCCGTTTGTCATTTGCATGATCATGTTGTTCCCATTAATCCTGGCATTGATGCTCATCCTGGACTCCTTTTTGAGTCGCCTCTTAGTGGCCTTGCTTTCTCACGAATGCGCTACGTTTACCTTGCACCTTGCACACTTGTATCGCAGGTCACACAAAGGAGCAGTGTTGCCAGCCGCTTTTGTGCACTGCAGACGTGTGCAAAGGCTCCGATGTCAAGGCCGGATTCCCGGAACGGCTGTTGCACTTGGCGCATGGTGTTTCTCAATTCCACTGCGACAACTTCGTTTGATGTGCAAGTCATGTGTGCTTCAGAAAAGACATGGCCCATACGCAAGTTACCCAAGGTCAAAAATGGCACAGGCATACTTGGGAGCGTCTTGGCAGAGCTACGGTGTGACACTTCCGGGCCACAGAGCTTGCTGCACACAGGTCCAAATTACGTCCAACTTCAAATGAGGTACAGCCGAGGAGTGTTGCGAGCCTGCGCATCTTGGATCATACTGGAAACAGCCTTGGAAGCCTTAGCCCATCTTAGCCCTTGCTAGCCGTCGCTAGTTTGAGAATCGACCATCCTTGAAAAGGTACTGCCGGGATGTCGAATGCCCCTCCATGACAGAGTACACCCGCCTCATCCACAACGACGATGGCATCTTGACGGGGTTGACAGATGACAATAGATGACAGGGATTTGCTGCAAGCGTTGGTTGATTTTGTTGGGATATGTTGGGATGCCAACATAGGCGGTTTGGGCGGAGATGGGGATGACCTCGCAGGCACTGCTCGCAGAGGCAGCACAGCAAAAGACTGCTGCAAGGAAGCCAAGTGCGCTGATCTGGACTGACCCTGAAGTTGGATTTGACAAGGTCATTGAATCTTCAGATTTTTTGGACTTTTCACAAAGTCGATAGCCTCAAAATGGTTTCAGCAAGAGTCTCATCATCATTCATCTGGAAAGCTCACTGAATTCGCATAGATTGAATGGATTGATACTAATAGTAGTATATTTACAATTTATATGATGTCTATATGATGAGCATTGTGTTCATCATATTTTCATGAGTTCTGATGTGCCAGGACTGCGGCGCCAGCCCTCGGAGCGCCTGGAAAAACAGCAGCCGGCAAGGCTTGGGCAGCACATATCCGGAGTGCTTCTTGGCATTTCTTGGCACATTCTCTGAGTTATCACAGCACATCACAGCACATCACAGCACATTTGGCACCTTTTTGATCCTTTTTTTGTCACTTCTTAGGCCTGTCATGGCATGAACTCTGTGATTCCCTGTAGTTCCCTATAGTTCCCTGCGATTCCTTGTTGCTTTTCGCATGCCTTGCCTTTGTGCACCCACAAGTCTTGACCCCTGCCACACCTTTATACCCAATAAACCTTGACACAGCCCTGAACTTTTTCCTTGACGGTTCCAAGAAAAGCATTTGAAATGCGCAAAATGCATGAAAGTATCATGAAAGCATAAAAATTCTGCTTGCAAAGCTCAGACTTCAAAAAGAGAGACCATGGACTCGACAAGCTTAAGATATCGCATGCCTTCAAGATCCGGAGAATTTCAAGAACGGTGGTTTGGTCCAATATACGGTTTGGTCCAGCACATGCCAGGCAAACATAAACAGGCAAACCAAATTGGACGCACAATTCTGATATTGCTCACGTCACTGTCTTAACACCAAAGCAGAAGATACAGACACGAGATGATTACATGGCTCTCAGGAGTACCGCAAAAAGTATGCCAAAATGCGGAAAGTGAGAAAAAGTTGGCACTTTTTCAAAAGATCAAACAAAGTGGTTCTTGGGATGTTCTTTAAGATTTAGATGCTGGTGTGAGTGTCTTTCGGGCACTTGATAAGTAAGGGTCTGCCGAGTGTGAACATGGGCTCTAAAGTCGGGTTTCAAGGACTCCAAGTCAAACTTGAGGTTGTTCTCCCTTGAATTTTTGGCTTTCTTTGCCGCATCTCAGACTTGTGAGAATTTCTGGTCCTCTGACTCAAATTCAGGGAATGGACCTAGAAACAACAGCTGCGCGACATATCGCGCGGCTCACGTTAACACTACATCGGAGCTACAACAAAGGGTCCCAACACTTTGTGCCGTCCAAGCCTGGAATGCTTGAGGTTGCGACAAGAGTTACTGTGCGTCTTGGATGCTACAACGGTTTTCATGTATTTTGCGGGCTACTTTCACGAGTTCTGCGAATTGATTCGTGTAACTGCAATGCTCATTCATGCATTCTTGAACAAAAAGATGTTCAAGGTGTAATACAGTGTAATGTGGTTTAGAATCGTGTGCAGCCATGTCTCGACTACGCTGTGGCTTCTGTGATGACAATGGAAATCGCCCTTGAGCCAAGGCAGACTTTACCTGCCAACCGTCAACAAAATGGGTCTCACGAAATTTGTCTTCACTCCGTGGAGGTAACACAGAGGCTTGCTGCCAGCCCTTGACGTGCAAGCGCTACACTTGCAAAGGTCCGTCACCTCAGAGTAAGACTTGCATGACGCCGTGCCATCAGAAAATATGTAAAACATAGTGCATATGTCACGACATGTCGCTACATGTTGCGACATATCAGCATGTTGAGGCATGTTATCTCTCAACAATCTACACTTGTACTTAGATCCTTCGCTTGTGCTCAAGCAAGCGGCTGGTCTTCTCGGAAGCTCTGGCTGGTTTACAGAATCTGAATGAAGACCTGAAAGTACCTGAAAGTACCTTGAAACATCCTGAAACATCTTTCTGTTTTGCTCTCTTGTTAACGTAAAGCATGCTAAAGCATGACGCTTTCAAGGCACATAATTATTGCCTCTCAGTAACCTTCTAGTCTTCACAGTTTTCACATTGGTTTATCTCGGGAGGAGCATTAACACGTTTCATGTGTTTCATGTTTCCATCATGTGGTTCGTAGTGACCGTTTTTCCACCCAGGAAGCACTGATGAAGAATGCTGCGAGTTGAAAAGCTGCAAAGACTACACTTGCAGAGCCTCAGCTGATCGGATGAGCGTGAGGTGGTGTGATATGCCCTGCGCTGCGATGGGGAGATATGGATTCCATGAGGCCTATGGTACTGTCACTATTTGTTACTGTACTAGTTCAAGATGTTTCATATGTCAAAATTCCATTGGTACCGATTGTTCACGGCAGACAACTAATTCGTAATTCCAAGCGCCCTGAACTTTGCAAGTTGGACTGTGTGGGACTATGGTTGGACTATGGTTGGACTATGTGGGGCTGGTGCCCGAGGTGATGCCACGAAATGGACTAAGAGACCCGTCCTGGTGGATGGTGTGCTCCGGAAAGGCGTTGATGACGCAACCTGCTGCGAGGTGGGCATGTTAACAGTCATATATGACATATACACTGGTAGGACAAAAGTTGCGCTTGTTGAGCTTCCCACAGTGAACATGGTTGGTTTCTTCTTCTGCACACCCTTTCCCCGTAGAATCCTAGCATGGAGCTTTGTCGTACCCCGGTCGCATTCCCACCCTCCAAAAGCTTTAAAATCTTATATATTTAAAAGAGGGTGATAATTGACCGTCCCACACCTGCCACACAAAACGGACTTGAAAATGTGATCCGCGGTTGACCGAAATGGATGTTTTGTAAAGCTTTTCAAGAAGCATAAACTTTGTTCCTCCTGAAGGGTACAAAAAGCTTATTGAGTGGGGATTGCCAAGTCATTTGCTGATTTTTGCACCTGCTTCAGCTTGGTCATTCCTCCACATAACATGTCTGTCTCCATCCTCTTTGTCTGCACTGCTACACATGTGCCGTGACGCAGGGTACAAAAAGCTTATTGAGTGGGGATTGCCAAGTCATTTGCTGATTTTTGCACCTGCTTCAGCTTGGTCATTACTCCACATAACATGCCTGTCTCCATCATCTTTGTCTGCACTGCTACACATGTGCCGTGACGCACTGGTAGGACAAAAGTTGCGCTTGTTGAGCTTCCCACAGTGAACATGGTTGGTTTCTTCTTCTGCACACCCTTTCCCCGGTAGAATCCTAGCATGGAGCTTTGCCGTACCCCGGTCGCATTTCCACCCTCCAAAAGCGTTAAAATCTTATATATTTAAAAGAGGGTGATAATTGACCGTCCCACCCCTGCCACACAAAACGGACTTGAAAATGTGATCCGTGGTTGACCGAAATGGGTGTTTTGTAAAGCTTTCAAGAAGCATAAACTTTGTTCCTCCTGAAGGGTACAAAAAGCTTATTTAGTGGGAATTGCCAAGTCATTTGCTGATTTTTGCACGTGCTTCAGCTTGGCCATTACTCCACATAACATGTCTGTCTCCATCCTCTT